TGGGAACGGCGAGATGGAGCTCCTCAAGACGCACTTCATTGCTGACTATTTGTTGACTTCCTGGAGATGCAGTCAGATTTTGACCGGTTGTGCCATTCAGAAGACAGACTAGTGGTTAAACTTCGACAGACTCAGTTAATGCCTCCCTTAATGGTTTTCTAAGCCCCCCTTCTAGTCAACCCACTAAGGGCAAGATAAGCAGAATAAGCTAACTGCATAAGGCTGTTATTTCGAAAACAGTTCTTTACAAAGAACATCCAAACGAACAAAACAGATCTATTTCCAACTATATTTCAACAGCGGGTTTGTATTGACAAAATGATGTACTATTCTCCCAGTGGAGCCTTGTGGCCAACTTGCTCCCAACTACCACCGAAACCTACCTCTTCCCTGCTCCTACCTCTTCCCTGCTAGTTGGCTGGCCTGAGTTAAGGCAGGGTTGTAGGACTTCAGCTAGGTTCTTAAGGCCCAGGACCTTGAGACCTGTCCACCCTCTTTCATCGCCCGAACCAGCAAGCGGCGCTGTCGAAGCCAGCGTTCCCGAAAACGCGCTTCTCCCTTCATCGTGTAGCGGGTGGCGAAGTGGATCGGATTCCCTTGGACTCTAAGGCCAAGTCCAAGTCTAAGGCCACCAAGCGCATGGGTCAAAACATGTCATTTGCACAACATGTTTCACAAAGGACACATCATCGACCGTCACTTTGACCAAACCTCCAGAGTAGGCAAAAAAAGGCAAGTCCCAGGCATGGATTGACTTTTAAAAGAGAATCCAAGTCTTCGATGGATTGCCGCATGGATCCGCATGGTGGACTGGTCGGGCCCCAGGGTGAACATCGATTCGCCTGGGTTCTTTGGACATCGTAACAGCTTGCCCGGCTTGCCCCATCAATGTTTCGACCTGGCTGGAAGCCAAGAGTTGAGGCCTTTCGGAGCCATTCTAGGACAGTGGATGTCAAAGCTGCGCGGGCAGGAATTTGGCAATTGCCAGAATCCATCCAGAATCCATGAATGAAGTTCAGCCGGAAAAAACTATTTGCCATCCACTGATAAATGAAAAATAGATCGTATCTAAGCCATTCTCAGCGAGTCTTCCACTCTTTCAAGTCGTGGGGCCCAAACATAAAACCACAAGACCTCGAATGTGACATCTTCTTGCCATTTGAATTGGGGAACTTCATGAACTGTTTATTCTTTCTCTTCTCTCCAAAAAACTGAACCTGCCCTGCCATCCATCCAGCTGAAGAATATGCAAAGAGCCTTTAGACCATGGCCCATCAACAGCTTGCACGTTCCGACAGTTTGGCTCGAAGTAAGACATGAACGACACTGGGGTGACGTGACTTCAATGCCAGGGCTGATGTGGTTCTGGTGGATGTTCTTGGAGTGTAGAAGCAACGTCGGTGGCTTGGGGGTCGATAGGGGCACGTCACATGATGGTCCAAATTCACTGTTTCCCATGGACATGGGACACCTGTGAGGCTCCCTTGTTGAATCCCTGCGGCCCTATATGAACTCTGATACATGGCCACTCAATACATCTGAAATTGAGCTTCTCCACTCACTCCCTGTTTCACTGGAAAATCCACCAATAGCTCCTTCTTCCACCCACCTCTTAGTGACGCTGGTGACCCTGCTGGTGCACAAAACGTCCAAACGTCAGGTGCGATCGATCCAGATCGACTCGTTGGAGAATCCAAACCGCACGGCCGTGCTGGCTCCACCTGCGTGGAACGAGGCCAATTCCCTTCAATCGACCGAGGCTGTGAAGGCCATGGACCCTGGACCGAGGACCGAGGCGTGTTTCCGCCGTGAAAAAAGATCCGCCAAGAACTGAGCAGAAAAGGGTAACAGTACCCTATAGGAGTCGAACATCGAACATCGAAATTTCAGTGGTCTGAATACCGAAATCCAAAGAACCATGGTTTTCACTGACTGTTTACACTACATCACCAGGTCAAGCATTCTTTTAATGGTCTTTGAAGGCTAGGAGTATGAATAACAACCTGCGAAAACTCATAATTGACTACTACAATTTTATGTCCGTATTGTTCTGTATTGTATATACATGATCAAGACTTGTTCTCCAGGGACCTGCTTTACCGTGACCCATGGAAGAGGTGTATCTGCTAATAAAAGTTGAACAGTGTCGACAAAAACTCAACTGACTTCAAAGCAATGTCCTTCGACCTCGTCCACCGACCCGATCCTGCAGCACCGACATCCGACACTGGACCCTGCATCTCCAAAGACAAAGCATCAGATTGGTGAAGCGTCAGAACAGGCACACCCTTGTAGTCATTATATAACACAAATACTACTTAAGTTGTATCATCATATATAGTTAATTCTAAGTGCAGCATGAGTACGCTTGAAATCAGGTGACCCAACATAGCCACATAACCAACTGCGGGGGCCCGGGCTGTTTGATCTCTTCCCTGCAAACAGCAGGTGTGGTTGGAAAGAATCCTCTCCGCTTTCAACATAAACACACCACCCCAAAAGAGGATCTGGTCTCTAAAAACATGTGTCACCTGAGTCAGCTGAGCGTAACTTGTAGATTGCATCTTCCTTGATCTGCCAATTTATATACTGTTTGAATTTCGATCTCTTCCAAGGGTCCATTGTGGCCGAGTCCAAATCCAAGGGGGTGTCCCCATCCGAAAAAAGAGCCGGAGGGGACCACCTTCTCCCCATTCCGGTCGCGGACAAACACCGCAGGTGCCGCTCAGAGCGGCTCACGGCTGCATTGAATTCAGGAGTTGACAGGCGGCCTGGCAAGCGAGGATCAGTCACCTGAACTGGGATCCTACCGGGTATCTATGGACTAGTCGAACTAGGCTTCTTCAACCTCTGTTGGTGGCAGCCGATTTCGTCTCTGGTGCTGTCTCGCTCGTCGTATGGGAGCATGGCCTTAGACTTAGGGGCCAGGACTCACAGCGCTGGATGATTCGGCCCAAACATCCAAGGATCGCACGCTGAACACCGCGCTGGGGGATGTTCGGTGAGGGCAGGGCAGCACCAAGTCAGCATTACCAGGGTCTTTCCACCAAAATTTGCGGGGAGCAAGTGGGAAGCAGCTTTGGCCCCTGCGCCATCGAAATGAACAACATGTTTGGACAATCCGATGGGTTCCTCATGCCATTTCTAATAGATCCCTATAGGTCCAAGGACCAACTAAAACCTGGTCCTGGACCTCATTGAGTAGTGCTTTTGCATGATCAACGTCAGGTAAAATGAGTGCACCGTTAGTGGATCGACACTGCGGTGACACTGCGGTGACACGCCTCGGCGGTTCAAGACCCCAGCACCGCGCTGGGCAAGTCCGAATCAATAAGTCCACTCCACGGGGTCTAACACGCTGCCACGGGACTGGGAGGGTTCACGTTTCGCAGCATTCTGTTTCCCGGCTCCAATGACCAAGACCACTGCATGGTCGTATCCCATGGGGTAACACCCGGAGGGCCAGCACTTGGTCGAAGCTGAAGATCCCGGAAGTTGCACAAGCTGCTTCTGAGTGCCCCCGGCAGCTCCACAAGGGATCAAGCTCATGGTCATGTAGCTCTCCTGCATCACCCCGCCCACCCCGCGCGGCACGCACGACCGGGTCGTAAGGTGTTGCGCATTACCGGGCGTGACGTGCGGACGCTCGTGTCAAAGACAGAAAAAAGATATTACTAGGGATCCACATACCTTCTCAGAAGGTACTTGGGCCCTCCAAGCCTACATACATAGTCTCCAATCACCTTCTGAGAAGGTACTTGGATCCCTAGGGTATGACCCAGACATACCCAGACCATCCATGGGACTGGCATAAGTTACATACACTTACCACTGTTATGCAAATATGCTAGTCTCATGGATGGTCTGGGTATTGGATAGCCTAACAAACTTAGCGTCAACCTGCGTCCAAGAGGCTGTTTGCTGCGGAAAGGGTTGGCCGATACTTGAACCACAAAGTTCATAGAGTTGATAGTGTTGTTGCCTCGTGCATTTCCAGCTCAGACTGTAACCTGTGTAATGGCAACTATGGTTTCTAGGTCTACACCGTCATTCTCCAGAACAATTGATTACCCAGCAGAGTCACTAGAGTGGTGCCGGGAATCCCGTTGGGTAGGTCTGTTCTTCTGAAATCCAATCTCATTCCTGATCAAAACCATAATTCTGGCGGAGGACAACTGACAAATCTCTTCACATGGTCCTGGTGCATTGTGTTGCCTAAAGCAGCCATCACATGTTTGGCTCCAGGTAGTGGGCAGCGCAGTATGTGATCTAAGGGCTTTGCCGCTCAAAGGACACCGACTGAAACTAACATGTTGTCATGCCGTCAGTCAATGCCGCGTTTTTAAGGCATGTTGAGGTTCTTGAGGCATGATAAGCATCGCAAGGGTCTCAAGGTAGAATCCGCTTCAAGAGCGCTTTGGATCCCACCAACCTAAGAGTGTTCAAGAACCTAATGAGCTAGTCAGCTAGTCCCCAAAGGGGAGCTGGACCGAAGGCGCTCTCTCCAAAAGGGTGTCCGGCCAAATGCTTCTACGAAGCATTGGCACTGGCCAAATGGTCAAGGGGTACCCATCCTTGTTTCAATGGATTTGGGTGCCCATCCATCCTGCCGAGTCAAGCCACCTGTGAGGCCGAGTCATCAAACCTCTAGTTCCCGCCCTCCCGAACCTCTGCGAGTCAACGGATGCCATCCCGGAGGTGCTTCGAAGAAGCAATGTCATTGGTTCTTTAAACCTTATCAAAAGGTCTACACTGCAGCGGGATCAAAGAGCCAGAAAGTGCATCCCACACTCTGGATACATCTGGATGCTATCATATACTATCATATACTATCCCAACTGGAGACAATTCCTATAAAACAAACCAAGCAAACCCACTGGACCGCCCTGCTAAGTGCTAAGCTGCAAAGCAAAGTCTCAAATATAAAGATATCCAGGTGACTCCACGACCAAACGAATCCCATTCCAACCCCAGGCATCTCACGCCACATGTTTTTGGACCTAGGCATCTGCCAACAGTCTGGGATCCTCTTCCTCGCCACCTTGGCCCGGACGGAGTCAGAGTTGGTCGCCAGTTGGACCAAAATAACTTGCTTAACTCATAACTTGCATCTGGTTTTTGGAACATCATCCTGAATTCGGACTCTTGCACCTGCTTTTGTCGGATGATGGTCCAGGTACTTTGGAGGGATCTTGCGGCCTTGCGGCCAGTTCCATCATGCTTGGAATCATCTGTTTAAGCCCTGAAATCACATGTTTGCAGAGAAACCGCTGTTGCTGCAAAAAGGTTTGTTCCACGACTTTCGTAACCATCACTATCATTCCCTTACTAGTCGACATGCTTCGGTTACGGAAGACGGCGAACGGACGGCTCCGCTCCAAAACCGAAGAGCTCACGGGGTGTGTGAGCAATCAGAGAAGCCCGCGAGTGGATTTCTCCAAAGGGGCAACAGTGCATCGAGCCATGAGCCATCACCCCCCGCCTGCAAAATGAACATGGTTCTGGTCGGACGTCCAAGTGGTTTCAGTACTTTTGTGCATCGATATATATATATATATATCCTAAAGTAGCGATTCAGCATCTAAGAGAACTTCACTATACCAGCAAATTGGTTTCAAGTTCAACTTGGTTGGGGTTCTTGTTGCTCAGCTCAGTTCCAGGCTTCTTGCCCCCTTTGGTGGTGAAAGTCGATCGTACAGCCAAAACAAAGCCCCAAATCAAAACAACATAAACCAACCATCAACGAACCACGTGTCCCGTTCTTCCGTTTCAAAAGAAAACACTTAAGACCCGATTATATGCTCTTCTCCTCCCCCTCATCATCCCTCCGCGACGTTGTAAGGCGTTTTTTCCCCCGCCTGGCTGTTGCAGTCGATCGGAGAAGGTCTTCAAGCGCCGGTGCAGTGGCTCTTCCAGGAGATCCGTGAGCGCCACGGAGATCGCCAGGATGGAGGCGTAGAGGAAGATCCTCGGCTTTTCCCAAGCGGAAGAACGATAGGCGAAGGAAAGAGGCGGAGCGAGGCGAGGTGAGCTGGAACGCACGGGGTGAATTGGAACTGGAGGAGGGAGGAAGCTTGGATGGGAGACATCTGGAGGATGGGAGTGTGAGTGGAGGGGGGTGGAAGGGGTGGGAGGGGAATTGATCGATGGTGTGAACTGAAGTAGGGGCATGAGATGTTGGAAAGCAGTCACATCTGCCACTGTCACTATAGTTAAAATTTGAGCTGGGGATGCTTGGCGGATGCTCAGTGGATGTTGTTTGGATCCAAGCCCATGTGCACCAAACCTCGCCTTCAAAGGATCCAAGCTCGTCTTGAAAACTCACCAACAGCGAAACCTTGAGAGGTGCATTGATCATGGATGGGTGCCAGGAGAGTACCTTTGTGCATGTGGTTTTTGGGGATCATGCAACTGATCAAGGTCGCCCAGTGGTTGATCGACTCAGTCTACCCGGTCTACTCAGTCTACAGGGAACAAATTCAAGCAGGAGACAAAAGCGTTACGCTCGGTCTCGCATTCTCTTTTTCGGTAAAAAGCCACACAAGTCAACGTTGTGAAGGAGACAACTCGGGAAAAGCGGTCACTTCAGCCTTGGCAGGGTTCTCAGTGAGCTCTCCAACTCGCTCCCTCAGTGTCCCTGGAAAATAAAAGGCTAACCTTTTTCCCCCACTGTTGGATTCTGGCCCCCAATCCCCGAAAAAAGGGACACGGACAGGGCAGAAGTCATCCTCTGACTGTGAAGTAGGCCCATGCGGCCCATGATCTCTGTCTCCGGAGCCACCAACCTTCCGCCCGATGCTTCACCCACGAACCACGACCAGAAACATCGCCGCCATCCAAATCAGGACCACCGTCCTCGAACCCCAAACCAGTCGGCTCCGAATTGATTCACCGAACCACCAGGGCATCGAACCGCCTTGACCTCCCAGACCTTCTCAGCCCTCCCAGACCTTCTCAGCCTCGACCTCCCGAACCTTCTCAGCTTTGGTCGAGCAGAGCTTCGGGTCGGTCTCGGGAAGCAGGTCATGCACTGGATTGGCCAACAAGTAGATCTGCATGGAGTAGTCACCCAGCATCTGGAGGAGACCTTGAGGACGTGGAGGACGTGGAGGGAGGACCCCCCAAAAAGAGCTGAAGCCACCACGGTCGCATACCATATAGTCACATAGCCACTGTAGTTGATTGATCTAAAGCTGCCAAGGAATTCTGGGTGATGAGATGTTTGCATGGCAGGAAAGACTGACAAACCGAATCCACTAAATTTGTCAAATGTTGGGAGACTGGAAGGCCACTCAGAGCGTGCGTCGCAAATGGTTGCCAGTTGGTTCTTGAAGTGCTTTTCCCAGTGTGGAGATCTCCCCATTAGGTTCAAGACACGCACCTAAATAGTAGTGACTTCAAATACAGCCGGCCCTGAGAAAGCTAGGGGTCATGTTCTTCCTCAAGAGTCTTGTGCTACCATCATGAGGCAAACTAAGTTCTGTTCTTGCCATTCGAAGGAGATGGGTCGCCACCAGCTATGGTTACCTTTTTACGTGTGTAGGCTATCGAAGCCGGGAAGCTGTCTGAGGCAGGGCCCTTTGAACGATCCCTACCCACCCTTCTCCTGGTCCTTGATGTAAAAATCCTCTCAATTCTTCCAGGATTCTTCAGTTCCTCGCCATCCCCAAACACCACCCCCATCCCCAAAACAAACAAAACAGGACCCCCAAAACAGCTGCAAGCATCGATGGCTGCTGAGTCGATGCAGGAGGGACTGGTACCCCACAGTGGAGGACAGGACCCACACCGCCACAGGCGCCTCGAGTCCATCTGATGAGAGTTGGAGTGGAGATTCTCCAGACATGGAGATGTTTGGAAAAAGACTGGTTCACTGTTCACTGTCCTTGGGTTTTGAGTGGTCCCCTCCCCCTCCCGAAAAGCAAACAGGTTAATGGTGGTTAAGGTTTAAGGGTTCTCCACTGACATGGTAGGCATGGGTGTTCGACTTAAGTCCAAGGAACTTCAAGGATATTGAAGATCTCCCATCTTCCTAATTGCTCTGCAAAACTAACACCTGTCTGAAGTAACATGGCCCACCCTCTGACAAAGGCAAGTATGTTTGCCTCAGCATGTCCCAAAGTTTAGCTCTCGCAAGCAGTCAATGAAATCTCAGGAAGTGGATCGACCAACTGGACAAATTCATGATTGTTTCAATGATTTTCCTCTGTCAATTTCTGGAGCATGTTCTGAATTTCTTAGGGGGGTTGGACCTGCTCATCGTTTTCAAGCTCATGCCGTTCAGGTGGGAAGGCCCCCCAACTGTGATACGATGTGATCAGACCAATCCTTCCACAATCTTCATCCCCCATCATCCCGCATCATCCCCCATCATCCCCCATCATCCAAAAACACCCATCAAGCATCCTTTGCTTTCGTAGCTCATACGTCATACAGCTAGCTCCCCGATGCCGGGAGCTTTTCGCCCAACAAATGACACTGGGCGTCCCGGACGAAACAGCCGCTCCAGAAGCTGGAGCCCCAGGAGAGGCCACTGAGCCCCGTCTCGTAGTTCCACTTGGCGGTGAGCAGCAGAAAACCCAGCCTTTGGAGCGCTGCAGCTTCGGCAGCAGAAGGCTGCGGATGGCAGTGACCAGAAGGTGTTGCATGTGTTTTGGTAGTTACAGGGTGCGTTGGAGTGGCAAAAATCCGGATCTCTTGACCAGCAACACTAGCAAGCATGACTAGTACACCGTGACACCGGAGCTGGCAATGACCAGCCAACGCACTGCGACAGGAGCCTCCCTGGATCCAGGGGAGGCTTTGTGCATGCTTAGACCTCTAGCGCAAGGTCAAACATTGGATGGCCCTTCATGTTTTGATAGAACAAGTGAGCCAATTCCAAAAACAAATCATGAATCCAAGATTTGATTTGTTTAAGGCTTTAAGGCTTAAGATGAATCCCAAAGATCTCAATCCCAAACATCCAAGCCACAGTGTGACATCACACCACACGGGCCAGAACCAGTTGTAGGGGCCCTTGGCTGGCGGCAGAGACAAGGCGACCTCGCAGGTGCAGAGGCCCAAGGTGAAGATGAAGACGTTGTGCCTGGTCTCCTCAATTACCCGACGACCAAGACGAAGTCAAGCATCCAAAGTCCCCTGACCCCGGCTGTCCGTCCGTAGTCTGGCAGCAAACCGATGGTTTCTGATGTCTGATTCTTTACAACATCCTACTCTCCTTACGGGGCCTATTTTCCACGAGTTTCCACTTCCATGTCAATGGGTGGGTCAGAGTGTAACATCTCCTAACTAGTGGCGCAGGAGTTTGACCCCACACCGAATCCTCTTAGAGTCTTGGATACTTGATGAAATAGCATGTTGGATTGGTCTGCAAACCTGTTGTTTTGACAGGGACATGTCACTCCTCCCGTGGAAATTCTTGACCCCTCAAAACCTTTTCCGGCTGGAGCCAAGGATGGCCAAGGTCTATTCAGATCAACATCCCACCAGCCTGTTTCACCGGCACCACATCAAAGAAACTAAAAAACAAAAACGGGTGCCGCTGCACTTCCAGTTCCAGTTGCTTTGAGATACCATGGATTGGAAGTGGAATACCGCACCACCTTTTTTTTGTTCGGAAAATGGTCCTTTCCACGGATTCCAGGAGCCAAGGGGCCATGCCAACTACGTAACCATGACATAGTTCAGGGAGGGTACAGTATACCCAGACACTCCATGTCTGTCATATATGCCGATCAGTTGGGGTGGTTTTGGGGGTCAATGTAGGCATATATGGCATACATGGAGTGGCTGGGTATAGATGGTGTGGGAGATCTAGACATCATGCTTTTGGGAGCTGTCGACCTCCTGGCGTCGAACGCTTAGCTCGTGGAAGAACGAGAATCGTAGAACCAGAAGTCGAGGTCCATGTCTTCATCCAAGGGCGCCTCGCACGACAGCAATGAGTTAGGGAAGAACTGTGGATCCACATCAGGTAGTTTCCAATGCAGGCTACTTCAAAGGCAGTTTTGACCAAACAAACCTAGGCCGAAACATGCCATCTACTTAGACGAAACCACGTCCACGAACGATCCCGTTCAACATCAACCGAATCATATCGAGATTGATAGCCCACCAAGCACCGAGGCTCTGTGCGAGACCAAAACTCATCCAGTGCGCCCAAGAGTACCAGCAGCGACCACAGCGTCAAGCTGTAGAGCTCTCCGTGCCCGAAGCCTCGGCATCGGCTCAAAGCGCTGAGGGGACCAAGGTTGAAGGATGAATGAAGGAGCTGGCTATTTTGTGATATGAATCATATGAGATGATATGTAATATATATATATATAATAGCCTAGTACAAATTATACAACATAATGTGCAATGCTATTGCTGTTGGATATCCATCTATTGATAAATTTTGGGATGCAGAAGAATGAGACATTTGCTCAGGTGAGGAGCAACTGCAACGACCACGGTACAGCCAAAAGTCTTTGGGAAGGTCAACTCCTTTGCAAATTGAAAAGCGCATCGTCCCCCAAACAATTGCAAATCAGTTCATTTCTGTATAGTTGCTTGGCGCCACTGAGAAAGGCGGGTCCCCGGTCATATAGACGGCCAGGATCTCAGACTGGACTCACCCGGGCCCCGCGGCCGCGCTGCTGCAGGCCCCACTCATTAGAGAGTGGGTGGCGCGACATTCAAACACCAAGATGGGAATCGCATTAGTTTCATGATGCTGCTTTCATGATGCTGTCAGCATTTTGGCTCTGGTGTTTTCAATGTAAAAACAGACCGAAATATGAGGGGCTTCGATCGTGATAAATAACGAATGTATATTTTTTTCAGTTTTTGGTGGTATAGGGTCATAAAGAAATTTGCACAAACAAAAGACAGCATCCAACAAAGCATATTGGTATAAATGCTGTAGTAAAGGCACTTATTGACAAACTGTTTTCTTGACAGCAAGAACTCCAGCGCGAAGCGCTTGGTGATGCAAAGCGTTCGGGTGCATGATTTGCATCTTCAAGTTGCGGTGTTTCACGTGTGCTTGTCTTGGCGTGCGGTGCGAGGCTTAACCAAGTCTTCTCGCGTGTTGTAGTCTTTCAACCGATGGTCGGTTCGGTGCTTTGATCAAATTTGGTTTGGTGATTGGTTTGGTGCTTTTCAAGTTTGGTGTTTTGGTGGAGCACGCGTGGGTTTCTAAGCTTGGTGCTCAAGTTTGGTTGGTTGGAGTGCTCTGATCTGCCAGTTTGTTTCGATAGTTTGGGTGCCCGTGTCTTCAAGAACGGTATTTAGCTGGATGCTCTGATCTTCAACCTTGGTGATTATTTGGTTGCCCTGGTCTTCAAGGGTTTTGGTGGTTGGGGGGGCGCTCTGGTCTTCAAGTTTGGTCATTGGATGGGCGCTCTGCTCTTCAAGTTTGGTGCTTGGTTGAGCGCTCAGGTCTTCAAGTTTGGTGATGGTTGGGTGTGCTGTTCTTCAGGGTTGGTGATTGGTTAGGTAGTCTGGTCCAGGTCTTCAAGTTGGGTGCTTTGTTCTTCAAGTTCGGCAATTGGTTGGATAGATGCGGATGATGCAAAAGCTGCAGGGGGATTTCGATCGCTTTCACCACCCCGCCGGCGAGCCAGCCCCGAGTTCCAGCCCCCAACGACCAAGCCATCAGGGGGGTGAGTCCAGTCTTCACGCGGCAAGACTCTTGGTGTGAGATTGGGCGGATGCACAGGCTTCACATGGAAATGGATCTGCATGAGATCATGAGATCCAAACCAACTTGCTTTCAGAAGCCCTCACAACCCCGGGCGAATGCAGGGATCCTCCCGCAGGTCTGCTCTTGCGAGCTTGATCTGCAAGGTCTTGCCGATCGGACCGTCGAAGCATGAAGAGTCTAAGACATCAAGCACAGTGCCAAGTGCTCGACAGAGATGATTCTGCGCAGTACAGCCCAGGGAGTTTGTTGTCAGAACATCACTGAAACTGGATCGGAGGTGGGTTGTTGCTGTGTTGCTATCGGAGATTGCCCGCTTCTGTGTTGACGCAGAATGAATTACCCACTTGGGCAAGCACCGGTAAGCCAAAATTTCCGGGTGACCTCGCAAAACCTTCAGCAGCCCTTCACGATGCCGAGCTGCTTTGTCGGGCCCAAAAAATGAGCTTGGAGGGAAGCGGTGCAAAAAGCCAACACCTAGGTACGGCCGAAGATCTTTGATAAAGCCCCAAGGTGAGCCAAGGCAGCACCTGGGATTTCCGCGAAAGCAGTGCATTGATTCTTTAGCTTCCTTTCCACCAGTGGCAAAAACGAGCATCTTGCACGAGAAGGGTCGAAAAGGAACCCCAAGAACAGCCAACAACAAGAAAGTAAAAAACACTACGCAAAGGGACACACAAACCATTTGAAAGGGATACACAGTACACAAAGGGACACGTAGTACACGCCACACGTGGCAAATTGGATGGCAAATGACGTGAACGACTGTTCAAAAGGACAAGCTTCCCTAGCTTGGAAATATCATCGGTTTTGTACTCTCCTCAGTCTCCTCTATATACTCACTGTCCTACCTCACACCACCTCCACCTACCCGACCCCCCTACCTCACCTCGATCTCCCCAGCTCTGCCCAAGGCGCCACAGCAAGGCACAGACCGTCCAGGCAGGGAAGTTGCTGCTGGGCGCCGAGCCGTGCCAAGTGCACAGCATCAGCACGGAGCCCTGGGGAAAGACGGCGACACGGCGAGCGACTGGCAGTCAGAAGAGGTGAGGGAAAGACGGTCTAAGCAATGGTCTGACATAAGCCGGGTGAACAGACTGAAAGCGGCCAGGGATAGACGGAATTTTGTGGGGTGAACCTTGCCTGGCTAGAGCATCATGGTGCTGCCAAAAACGGTCACAGATTGCATGCTCATGCTGAACACCCGAGTGTTCCACGGCGGCGGGCGGCGTAGTGGCTGGAACTGAGGTCATTCTGAATCGTGTATTTGATGGGGTGAACCCGTGGTCTATAATTGAGTTTTTTCTTGATGGAGGTGTTTCTTTCAACTTTCAACCAACCCAAATACCTGAAACAAACAATTGCTGGTCTCTTTCAAACCGGCTCTTTTGCTTAGCAGTGCGTTACTTCGTCTCATTTCCAAGGCCGGCCCAGGCTCTTCCCATTCCTCCCATTCCGGCCCATGGCCTGAAAGTCCGTACTCCAAGACTGGCCATTGGAGAGAAGGACCATGAAGTGAATGCCGTAGTAGATCGGTAAAACGCGCCCCACGCCTCGCGATCGGTCAAACGAGTCACCCACATGTCCATGTGCCGAATGAGCTGATGGATTGACCATGGGCTCTCTCCCCCACTGACCCAAGCAGGCAAAAGTGGATCCGATGAAAATGAAAGGACAGGGCCCAAGCAACAGTAGTGATGATGCAATGATGATCATGATGAACATGAAGATGGACATGACGATCAGCAAAGAAGAAGAAGAGGAAGAAGAAGAAGAAGAAGGCAGAAGAAGAAGAAAGAAGAAGAAGAAGAAGAAGACGCCGCGTGATGATGTTGATGATGATAATTGGACTGTTGCTAAATGAATGGAAACAACAAGATTTACGATGAATTGACTCCAACATCTAAGACACAACGTACCACCCGTTCAGCCCAGGCTCGTCGGATGTAATACGAAATCAAATTCGCCTTGGGCCCCGCCATCTTGTCCTGACAGTCGCAAGGACCACATCAAACCAGAAGCTCGGTGAATATCAAGCCAAGGCTGACCAGCTATCCCAGGAGATTGATGAGTTGTCGGCTTGATGCGTCATCACCTTTTGGAACCTTTTGAGTTACTACATGTCCATCGTGAACGAATTCCTGAGCAATGGCAAGCACCCGGTCTAGGTCCAGGCGAGTGAAGTTGATGAGGAATCTGGCCTCTATCAAGAATTGATGATTTCCCCTCAGAAACATGGAGGGTGTCTACACAGCCTGTAGTTTGCCTACCGTCACTGTCAAGGAAGATCCCTTTGTTCTCCCGGCCAGAGACCCCAAACTAGTGTGCAAAAAAACGATCCAACACCAGGAGTGAACTACTACCGTAAGAACCCTGAGCGTGACCACACTGCTTTGGGGAAAAAAGAGGCCAGGCTCGCCCAGTAAAGGCGGCTCGCGACTCGACCACACGCCCAACGACTCCGCTCGTCAAGTCTCTCCATAGGCGTATTGGGTGATAAAGCCTGAGAAGAAGACGAAGAAGGTCACTGAGGCATAAGCCAATTGGCTAAAGATGCTTGGATCGCCTGAGAAACGAGACGAACCTCCGGAAGAAAATGTTGGATCCAGGAAGAAGGGAATTGATAAGAATCGGTTCTATGTCGGGAGGAACATTTAGTGCTAGTTGACTCTGCCCTCTAGGTGCGCATTTGGCTTAGGCTTGACATCTTCCTGAAGAACATATCTGCACATTCCTCAAGGCTCATTACTGGGATTGAAGTTGAAGGACCCCCCCTCAGAGTGTTGTGAGCATATATGCTATTATCCACAAAAATGTGTATGCTATCCACTGCCACTCACCAAGATATCTCATACACCCCTAACATCCTGTCACCATAAATCTAGATTTGATGTAAGAAGGAGGGACAACAGCAGCTCACATTTCTTTGCTTTGGTGGTGGGAGAACGATCTCAATTGGAAGGTCGCAACCTGTCACCACGAGAACCACCCAGTTTCAGTGCAAAGAACTGCCGAGTCGCAGTAATGATGCCAAATGATTATGCAGCAAATCACAAATTGCCAGCCTTAGTAATCAATATATGTCAATGAGCTCACATACCTTGAAGCCCTTGATACCTTGAAATCAAAACCTCTCCAACTCAGTCACTACTTCACTCTCCGTTTATTCACACATCTCAAGGGCTGTATTCAACTATATACAACTATAAATCCCAAATAGATGCTATAGTAGTACGTAGCTATTCACACTCGGGCGGCGACGCCGTGGCGACGCAGATCTCAAACACCAAGACTGAGGATTAAATCCCAGGAGTCACATGGAGCAGGGTGGTGTGGCTCCTCCCATCCGGCCGTGGATGTGACCACGGGGCACCCCGACTACCTCCATGGATAACCTCCGCCCCAAGAGCTCCTGCCGCTCCAAGGTGCTTGTGAGCTCTCGCTCTCCCTCCGCCGTCCGCTCTCCCTCGACCCACGCTCGGTCCACCAAGCAGCCGTTGAACTGCAACAGCCGCGTCTTCTCCACGCGGCCCTCGCGGCCCACGCGGCCCACCTCGCGGCCGGAGGTCTTCACGTGGAGGAGCAACGCCAGCGTCGTCGCCTGGGAAGGGGGCTGGCAAGTTGACGAGGTGGGAAGAGGTTGGCGAAGGATGTGGGTCATGGTGGACAAAGATCCAACTCCAGCCTTAGTCTTTGGGGTGTGTAACTCCTCGAGGAAAGCTCCTCATGGGTCTCCAACCACCCAAAACGTAGTAGATACTAGTCCCTGCGGCCCGGCGTGGCCGTGTCCCATCCACCATCTGCAGCTGAGAAGCCAAAGTCCATCCACAGGCCATCCAGCTGAGCCGCACGTTCCGGAACATGTCCGGGTCCTCCGTGGCTTCGGGCTCCGACGCGTCCTGGCCGGATTGCGAAACTCCCGCAGTGCGGACACAGCACTATCCGAAAGAAGGTCACATATGTCTGGCGCTTGAAGGTGTGTGAATGGTCTGCATGGCATGTTGATCCAGTAAAGGGCGGAGGTTTTGCATAGTTGGAAGATCCACATAATTATGGTTGTGGGCCAAGAAGTTTAACATGGCTTGAAGGTGGGATGCTGGGATGTTTATTTACTGTGTTTTTGTTTCAGGCTCCAACTACTTGAGTCCATCTCAGAAAAAGGCAGCAAATGATGTTCACCAGCTCGTTACGAATGGCTCACCAAATCCGCGTCTCCCCGCAAGTCGACACTGGACACTGCACCCCGTACCGTACCGACTCATACCTTCAACATCCATCAACACCTTCAACATCCATCAACAAATGGTACACGAACTTGTTTGTTGGGGATCAAGTAGAACAATGTCAAGTCGAAATAATCCTCCAAATGTCAGGTAACATTGTTACAAGAAGCCTCCAAATGTCAAGTCTCATGTCCCATGTTGGAAGCATACCTGCTGGGTCCGGAAGTGAAAGTGTGAAGCTGGTCGTCTAGTCTGCTCCACGTCCCTCCATCACACGACCGTGCCCCCCAAAGAGGGAGCTGCTTGAAAGAAGGTGAATAGAACCTATTAGGGAAAAGACAACTAGAACATGAACTATTTTTCACTAATTATATAATTACAAAGAACGAACAATTAAAAACATATGGAGCATTTTGGGACTATGTACTACATGCACATCAACCCACACATGGCCCCTACTTAGAGCACCAAAAGCTTCGCCAAAAAGCGATGGGACTCCGCGTCCCCGGCGCCTCTGGAAACTCGTCGGCATAGCCCGCCATCGTGGCACAGCAGCTGGGACACCATGGATGACGCAGCTGGGCGCTCTGACTCTTGTGATGCTTCTGGAGGTTTTGGTACTTGATGCATAGCCAAGTCTCGGCCCCTCTGCAAAACCCATTCATGTGTCCAAAAGGAAACACCATGATCAATCCATATCAGACCTGTTGATGATTCAACACCGGGCTTGACCCCCCAAAACGGTGCAAAAGCGCGGCGTTTTCACTCCCTCACATGAATTCCTTAGGAGTCCAGCGGAGTCAAGTGGAGTCGCAGAGCGAGAAGTATGTAGTGACATTCTGGTCATGTACACTCTTTGGCCTGAATAAATAAGGGCCCCCAAGCCAAGCCAGAGCTTTACAATCCAAGCCTGAACAGGTTTTACATGCATGGTTTTACTTGCCACATTCTCTGTAAATGTAAAGGCCACCCGAGAGAAGGGGCCAATGGGGGGTGAAAAAGCATAATCTTCGACATGACCGGCCATCTCTGCTTATCAACTCGGATTCCATAAGTTGGTTGAGCTTTGCAATGCATTGCTGTAGCTGCTGTAGCTGCTTTCATGCACCTCATCCATTTGAGAGCCATCATTCATCTTTACCAGCGAACACACTGGCTGTCGCTGGCGGGCCGCATTGATGATGGTCTTGGTTCTTCAGCAGGCAGAAGCAAAAGTGCAAAGTTCCCTTGAATGAATTCATTTCGACAGATTCTGTCCAGAAACCTGAGAAAAAAAGTTATGCCCCGTTTGGGGATTCACCCAGTTGGGGAACATAAAAATCAGCCATTTGTTCCTGCAAAAAAAGCGGCTCAACCACGGTCTCCTGGTGCTTCCGTGGCATCGCTGAGATCTCTTCCAATGTGTCCTCCTCGCAAAACTGCTGGAGAAGCTGCCGCTGGACCAAACGCCGGGAACTAGAGCAAAACTGAGGGATCATCCCAAATGCAACACAGTCCACGTATATGGGGAATAGTTATATTACTATATTACTGTAATCTGATACAATCTGATAGATCATATGCTTACCCCTTTTCAACCACCCCAGTGTAGGTTGCCATTCAGCACCAGATCCTTACACGAACCATCTAGATCAAATAATGCGTACAAACAAACACAAATGCAAAGAGTGACACGCAAAAGATGTGATGATTGGGTGATCTCTTCGCCCAAGAGTGGACACCTTTGGAAGTGACCCCTCTTGGGTGGGTCCACCTGAATGGGGTAGGGAACAGGGAAAATGAAGCAACTTCGCTTTCTTGAATCCATTTAGTAGGTGGTTTGTGTAGATGGATTGGTCACCGGTACTGTGAACATCGAAGGGTCTTCATGTGGACCATACGAAGGGCATCTGCGACGACACGGGATCTGTACCAGAGGTACTGGGAAAATCTGGGAAATGTCTTGTAGTGCAGGTGCAGAATTCTGAGGTATCTAATTGCACTCGTTGGAATAATCATGGAAATGCACTAGGGATCCACATACCTTCTCAGAAGGTACGACTGGGCCCTCAAAGCCTACATAAATAGTCTCCAATCACCTTCTGAGAAGGTACTTGGATCCCTAGGGATGGAAAACCACCTATTGGTAGAAGGTTTCGTGGTCTTCCGAGTGATTCTTCCAGGCCCCAATCGAAGACAGGACTCCAAGGAAATGCCCGCAGCTTGATAGAGTTTGCCAGATTTGCCAGGTTCCTGCAAGCTTTTCCCTTTCCAATCCTGGAAAAAAGACATGGTTGCTTGGATTCCACTGGCATCAGTCCAGCGATGTGGTATACATGCAACTACTGGTGCTTTCTCCACCCCAAAAAGGGTCAAGCGGCAAGCTTTCCATCAACATCATCGGTTTTTCCATCCCGTTCAAAACACCGCTGGGCGCAGTGGCGCATCTTTCTCCATCCCCGAATCGCCCTGGACACTGCGCCTGAATCTGCCACAGCTTCACTGTGCCGTCGAAGGCGCAGCTCGCGAAGTATCCTCCGCACGGGTCACGTGGCGAGGACAAGTCGTTGCCACGCGTGTTCAGCCGAAGGTGACGCCGTTGAAGAAAGGGTACCCCCAGGCTACTGGAGCCAGGAGACTGATATCATGATACGGTAGGATACCCCAGCTGACTGTTGGATTGTGGTCATTAAGGTTCTCAACTTGATGGCTTGCCTGAATGTTATTCCTTGTCTTCATTCACTGAAACAAACAGAGGCTGAAAAGACACCACCAAATGCAAATGGTTGTAGAATGTAGACTCTTGATCCCCATTTGGATTCCACAAAACACCTTTCGGTGTTTTTGATTGATCACGAGTAGTTAGAGTATATTTAGATCTTAGTTTGCTGGCCATCCTCAATGATCCTTGGACCTATCCACTCTGAGCTCAGCTCCGGAAGCGAAGTCAGCGGAGAGGCACCAAATCAACTTTTCATGGCCTCAAGAAAAACCGGCGATCACATGTCGAACTGTTTCGAGACCTACGTCTCAAATACATACAGTGAACATACAATGATTGCAGTGGTTTGATCGCTCAGACTTGAAGGTGTCCTTTAGATGGGGGATCATATAAACCACTAAACTTAGGGATTGCCATCTAAGATCTACTCTGAAACCATGGTGATTGAAATAGACTACTTGGACCTCAAATGATAATATAGCCAGGCCCAGCACCATCTACAGGAAAACCAGAAAAACGTCTTGATTCACCTAGCAATTCGCTGGTGTATCTATTTGGAAAAGTGAAATTTGTCCTGTCAACATGCTCAGGGAAGATCAGATTGAAATTTAAAGCCAACTGCGCTCTGAAGCCACTCTCAACTCCTCAGAAGGGAACAGGATTGACACCACAGTCACTCGATCCCTATTGCCTTCAAAATGGAGGCAATTATAACTGAAACTTTCCGTTACTTATTCCTCCAGTGGACACAAAATAAGAGCTCTTGATCAGGAATCCAGTGATCAGTTTTGGTCTATACAGGGAGTGCAGCGGCTCAACTCGCTGGGATGATTGAAGACCACTCTGATGTGAAACAAACATTACATCCTACGGCGTCTTTGGCGAGAAATATATCTTCCCTAATGCTTCGAACACGTTTTTGAACCCCTTCTTAGCCCTCCGGCCTTTCACTTCACAAAGCCTCAGGGCGCTCGCACACATGCGTTCGCATGCGCTCATGAACTTCGCAGGGACATGATGCCATTTCTCGACCCAAGAGGGTGGTTAAATGTTTGGCAGCTGGGCACAGCTGTGATTGGTGTTTTTTTTCGGGACTAGACTGACAAGTGGGAAGCAACCAGCAGCCACTCTAGGATTCTTTGCATATACAGTAGCTGGTTTGAAAGTTTGTAGTGGATATTGTTGGGATGCAAATCCAGCATCCTAAGATCTCTACATTTCAAATTAAAACAAATATCTGTGCCCCAACATTTCCCTCACCCCCTAAATCTTCCTCCGGTCTACGGTCTCGCTGGTCGCCGGGTCTCCCGGACGCCACGGAGCTTCGCAGGTCCCACAGCGTCAGCTGCCCCTCCTCCCCGGCGCAGAGCGCCCGCTCCTGGGACGCCGCGCCGGACGTGACCGGTGGACGACTGGTGTGAGCAGGCACGCGGGGCGGGAGAAGAAGCAGTCCGAAGAGAAGGCGGCAAAGACGTGGTAAGTGGTTGCCAAGTGCGGGCGACTTGGGACTTGGGATGTATTGTTGTGAGGGGGGTGTATCTGGACTTTGTGGGCAACATACAAGGGATCTCAAAAAGTTTGAGTGGGCCCTAAGCCAATTGCATAATGTGTCTGCCTTCATGCATCCAGGTCGACAGCCTTTGTTTCCTGCTTTGCCGATTTAACCGGTTTGTCAAGCCCGTGGTCTCAAATGGATTGGCAACGGGCTCTGCGACTTTTGTGGGAGAAGCCATTTGGCACATTGGCGCACACGCCAGCTCGCTTCTTCTGCGCTCTCTCACCGATGCGCGGTTGACATGAGCAAGGATCACACAAAATGTCACTGTCGAGGTTTCCACTTGCCATGCAGGTTCGCCGCCCTTAAGGGCTGAAGGTTCTCCCCACTGTGACTTGCAAAAATGGCGAGTAGGTATTGGAGAGGTGGTACGAGTAGAGGAAACAAAGGACACTGTGTCTTGCCCACTTCTGTCCAATAATGCAAGAAATGGGCTGAGGCGTTGTCAAGAACCTATATGTGAGGGACTTTGAGCTCAGCAAAGAACTTGGTCCACGCTTTCTGTAGAGAATTCTGGGACAAATTAAAAGCGGGCTGCCTTGAGCCGTCTGAAGTCCACAGCCTCGCACTATGGGAGCCATGGCAGGCTCTTGACGGTCGGATCGCAAATGGCCGCAGCACTGAGCATCTCCGGGCTTGATGCAGTGAGCTCCCTGTGTAGTCTACATACCCCTGACGGCTGCATTTTCAACCATTCAAAGTTTAAGTTCGTTGAACGTTAAATATTTTCAAAGGTTGTCAAACGTGGAAAAACAGTTGGGGTGAAGGCTTGTGGCCTCCAACAAGCGCTCTCACAAGGCTTTGGCACACGTGGCTAAAGCGGCTAAAGGCCATGTCACCTGCCCATAGGCGTCAATTCAGCTGTTCAGCACGCAGCACAGAGGGGGGCAATGCAGACTTGTTGCGTTCGTCGACCCCTACACTATGTCTAAGGCTTCGCTGTCGGCGCAAGCACCGCGATGATGTCACTGACCTCTCAAACCAACCTGGTTTGGTAATTCAGCAAGCCGCCCTTGTGTTCCCAAATGGAAACAGCATGCTCCATGCGCTGTTACCCCGTGTCATTGTCCATGATCAGCTTTGTGTCTTTCTCACCACTCTCCGAGCACAAGGACGTGGGAGCTTTCATTTCCTTGTTCGGAAATGCTGCGCGGTTGGGCGGCGTAGCTTGACCAACTGTAGCAGGTTGTTTGCTTCCTCCTTGGGGTTGACGAGCTGGTGCTTTGGAGGCACTGGTAAGCCGTGGGTCCCACAAGGCGCCCAAATGCCTGTGTAGCTGGGTCGATCACCACGAAATGCCTGGCAGTGAAGCTTTCATGGAAGAAATCAATGAAGCAACGCTTGCTCTGAAAAACTATCGACAAAGGGCTGCTCTTTAAAAAGCCGTTGACCTGAGCCAAATCGCCGCTAGCTTTAGCAATCCGACCCTCTCTGTCAGGCGTAATGCAACCAAGCAGAATGTTACAGTCTTGGAAGACATTCACCGAGCTTAGAAGGTGTTCGGCCGTCTTGGTTGCATCGAACGCGGTTTCTTTGGACACACAGTCGGCAATGGAAGGTCGGCGTGACCCACAGCAAGTGGCAATGACTTGGTCGCCAGTGTTAGGCGCGCTCCACAAGTCAGCGCAATAAATGGCCGGGTGCCTGCATAGCCATAGCTCCCTCGCCATGCTTGGTCAAGACTCTGGGTAGGATTTTGTAACGCATCTTCTTTCTGCTGCACAGCTTGAAGCGGGCAAGCCCGAGTTCTCACATGTAGACATTGGGAGGATTGGGGGAAGATCCTGCCAAGGCCACATTGGCGAAGCGTGCATCTTCTCGACTTAAAGTTTGAACTCGTCTAAGCATGCTTAAGCAGTCGCTTAAGCACGGTCAATCCTCGACCAGAACGTGCTCAGCAAAGCTTCCCAAAGCTTCACGTTCAAGGCCTTGGGCCTTGTGGTGCCGGACATGCTCAGTCATCCGGGTCTAGCCAGCAGGCAGTGTTACTTCAAGTGTCTCTGCAAAGGGTTTAGTTCCCCTTTTATTTTCATAACAGAATACATTGCACAAAAAACGCTGTCCTACCGCGCTCTTATTTATAGCAGGCCGCTCTCACGTATGCCACCACTGCCACAGCGATGAGCGCCCAGGCACAACAAGCCACGGCTGGTCCCGCGCTCATGTAACGCAGCTGCGTGCTCCTCATGAGCCTGCTGCTGCTTCTGTTCTGGAACAAAGACCAGTTGCCGCTGCTTTTTCTTGGGTGCCATGGCACAAGGGATGAATCAAAAAAACTCTGAACTCTATACTGTCATTGTGGCCAACTATCTTCATATGTCATACATTCTCATGCTGTGAGGCACAGACTCGGTCATCCTGACTCTGCCCTCAAAGTCGATCCAATAGGCAACGAACACAATCTCTGAAAGGCATGTCAAGAGGAGGGTTGGCACTTGTTGACACATGTGTTTAAACAAGGGTCTGCATAAATACTGGTCGGTTTGAACGGCTTCAAGTTTAAACTTTAAACGTGTTTGACACAACACCGTCAACATGGATTGAAAGATGTCCCCTTTTGACAGCCCTTTTGACTTCACATTCCTGGTCCCCCCGGCGATGCTCGTTCGACGCCCTCCTCAGCCCAGTGGACAGCGACCGCCCGGAGGCCGTGGCTGCCCTTCACAGGTGTGCGTTCCAGGCGGAGGCCTTCACGATGCGGGAGGAGACCCAAAAGTGCGTCGCAAAACCACCCAGACCATCCAAAAGCGCCTGGGAAGACCGGTTGGGGTATTTTCTCGATATACACACATTGATGGAACTACATGATCACCTAAGAGCACGATGAGCACGGATGCTCTATGTTTATATATGAATTCATATCATGTGGAGGAGTCGAACTCACCAGCCAATGGTCCTCCTGGAGTCGCCCCCGAGGTGCCCAAGTTCGTGTCGATCGCGTGATGGAGATCCGTGCACCAGTGCAAGAAACCAGCAAATGTGCATGGGTTGTACCATGATTGAACCTCCAAAACGAGCTTTTTGTGTTCTACAACCTTCATGGGGGTCACTCAGCCCATCCGCGCTCCAACACCACCCCGGTCCGCCCAGTCGACCCCCCCGGGCCGTGAGGAGTGAAGCTTCAAAGCTCCAAAGCACCCCGGGTGGTGCCTGCGGACTCGGAACACGCGAAGATGAGGAGGATGTGTCTTGTGTTTGGTTCAAACAAACATCTGACACAAAGATGGGACACCAGAAAGGACTATGATATACAATTATAATCGATGTATATCGATTTATGTTTTCAAATGGCTTGGAATGATTTTTTCTTCCGGAATGGTTCGTTCAAGCGGAAGCTGGGACTGGCCACGCACATTTGGCATCTGAAACATGTCATTGGAAAGGCTTGTCGTGCCATATATTGCTTCTCAAAAGAAAGCAAGATGGAGTGATTGAGGATGATGGAGGCACGAAGTGCTTTTGGGATTCTTGGGGCGGTATTCCAAGCTGGAGAATCCACCGGTTCCAAATCCCTGGGCTTTAGGAATTTACATGACTTTAACAAACAAACCACCGATCAACTGGTCAGTGCCATCATGGTAGCTTCCTGACACTTTGCATCTGCCATTCTTCACCATATCTCATATAGACCACCATGCATACACCCTGAGAGTCCAAGACTATTTTTAAATGTGTCTCTAGACTCTAGATCACCACAAAAGAGATTTCCTTTACTTCAGTGCCAACTACCATTCCCACCTGAATTTGACCCCCATCTTCTTCGTCCCTCGCGCCTGACAGGATCCGCTGGCTTTCCCAATCCACGTCCAAAGCCATGCCGCGCCCCATCATCTCCGCCCGCTCCGTGTTCGACGACCGCCGTTGGTTGTTCCAAACGTTGCCGTCCAGTGAGGACAGGACGGGACCCCAGTCGAGGCAAGCGCTGACCACGCACGGCGAGTTCGAGCAGCCTGGCGGATCTTGGGTCATGCTGGGCTGCAGATGGCTAAGCTGAGTTTGGATGAGTTTGTGGGGGTTGGATAAAACAGGGGAAAGTTGGACAAAAATCCTAGATGCATGTTCTTCGAGAGGAGTGAATCTCGATTTCTTAAGATCGATGATATATACCGGAGTCAAAGGCCATAAGAAGATTGGTGTTGGAACTTCCTTGACTTCAGTCGGTCAAAATATGATCCAAATGTGAGCAACTTCCTCTGCTTGTATTGGGCTGTGAAAAAACCAGCAGGCGGCCGTGCGACACAGATGGCGGCGCCCGTGCGACACGGGATCGACGGACGTCCAACGAGCAATTCCTCGATCTGGAATTCCTCTGCGTTCGTCGAAGCATCTCCTTCCCATCCGCCTGGCGCCCATCCCAGGGCGATCTGCATCACCTGCTCCGGCTGCGGAATCACCCGCTGCGGCTCTCGCTGCTGAAGTGAGTAGACGGACAGCTCAGAGCCATGGGCCACCACCGCGAGGTCCTGCCCCCACAGCGCCTGCTGCATGGAATGTGGTTGGCTCAGATGGGTTGAGAACGACAGGTTGATTGGAAAGAGCGGCCTAGCGATACACATCAGCTTAGTTCAACCAGCTGTCAGCTGGACCTGTTGAAAAAGAAAAATACTCCAATCTCCCTAAGGTTGGATGATGTTGGAAGGAATACGCTCCACTAGATTTGAAGACAAATTGTGTTCCTGTATGTTCCTGTCCTGGGCCTGCTCTTTGCAAGAGTAACCACTTAAAACGAGTGCAAAGCCTCTTGATCGCTTGGTCACTCATCACCGAGTTCTTGCAACTACACTCCCTGAACTAGTCATGGACCATGGAAGTGGAAGAAAACAAACATCGCCCCTTGCATGACCATTTTCCTCTACACACAGGTGGGTAAGCCTGGTAAACCAAACCTCCATGATTAGTTCATATGAGTTCAGGGAGTGTGATGTGATTGTTGAATGATGTTGATGTCTTTCCATGTCTCCCATGTCTGAGTTCCTGTCTCACATGTCTGAGTTCAATTCTCATATCACTTGGCCTGTCTCAGGTCATGTTGCCACCAACTGCCGGAAGGATGTTGGTCCCCAAGCATGTTGATGTTAGCATCTTCTTGGAACTTCACCCACCTTCCCCTCTGCCCCCCCATGTTGAATCCCGACTTGGAACTGCCACGGAAACACTGCCAACTCCCCTGCCTCAATCGACTGCACATAGCCACGGACCTTGCGGAAGACCATCTTCTCGCCGGTCTCTCCTGAAGAGCGACGACGACGGACATGCCGACATGCCGACATGCCGGGTTGCGAAGTGCCGACGAGAGGTTCACACCACCCAATCGTCCGTATCATGATCCCTATCGTGATCCCTATCCAGGGAAACCAACCACATCCAATCCACTATAGGCAAGCAATCCACATCCGAATTTGCTGAAAAAACGTCGAAACGTTTGGATCGAAAGCTGCTCCGCTCCAGTGCTCCAAGTGTCTGATCATCTGCACATTCCCATTGCTACAGCCCAGCAGCACCCGTCGTGTGGCGCCATCCGCACGAAGGGCCGTGATGGTGGAGTCGATGCTGTGCAACCTTAGAATTGGCTCAAAGAACCGGGGAAAACAACACATCTTAAAAACGTGTCTTTAAAAATCACTACCAGGACCTTCAGTTCGTGACCCTTTGATATCCCAGGATGAGGTCATGTACAAGGTCATGTACAAGGTCACTTGGAGACTCCAAAGAGGTCACGTTGAAGGTCCTGGTCATATTCCGCAAATCATTCCGCAGGCTTTGGGGATTCGCCCCAAAAAACACTCTGACTCGTTTAACATGGAATGTGGAATTTGCCAATTGGCAGACTGGTTTCCTTCTCGGACGCCTGGCATTCCACTTCCATGTTAGTGAATCGGAGTGTATAATACCGACACTCCATGTATGCCATATGGGTTATATATGCCTACATTGGGGTGGTTTCGGGGGTCAATGCCAGGTGTGGGAACTTACCCAGCTCGGGAAACTCCACATCACCTTAGTCAAGTAAAGCTAAGCAACTCTTCGACGTCGGCCCTGTGGTAGTCCCAAAGGATTAAGGAACGGTTCACAGAGGCAATGACCAAATGCGACTGGGTCAGCACCTCAGTTGACACCAGGCAGTTTGATTGTTTCCAACAGAGGTTGAAGAACCTGAACTAGACTATCCCAGTTGGGTCCCCCAGGTTATGGTCCTAGTTCAGGTCACGTTCTACCTCTCTTGGTTTGTTTATGCTTTATGTTTTTCCAAACTACCCCCCCAAAGAGTCGACCCCTTAGACTTCTTTTCGAACATCAATCAGGGGACCGTCCCATGACTGGACCGAGGGCGTAGGTCCGGAGCCAACGGCATCAACATGGCTAGCTGGTACACCTTCATTGGGACCTGAGAATGAGAGACAGGAGTTGAGGTGAAGCATGGGACCTTCCAACTCACCAGCCTTGCTTGGTCAACTCAAGTCCTGGCTCCGTATCCGTCGTCTTTTGGAGCGACGACCGTGAGACGAAGACGTCGGATCAGTGGGCTGGACAGAAAACATGAACACCATAAGAATCATAACCAGGACCCCCAAAGGAATGTGTTTTGGAGGTTTTGTCTTACATAAAACCAACCAAAAAGCATCCATTTGGGGGTGCTGGAAGATAAGTTTAAAGCAAGGAAGACCTATACCGTGTGAGGTAAATCACCCAATTGCACTGAATTCTTGGACCTGCAAGGAAACCAGTTTTGCCCAGTGAATGAAGCCTGACTGACCCTCCTCGCTTCTTCAGTGGTCCATGTCATGAGAACCAGACTTATTCAACAAGAACTGGCTACAATGTTTCGAGTACTCAGTGCCTTCCTTCAGCTTGGAACTGTTCGAAGTAATCTGTTTCTCGCAGCATCGCCAGTAGGTGTGTGACTTGGCAAATTTTGCCTGTGCATCACTTTGGTGTACCGAGTGAGGAAATTATACTATAGTCTCTATAGTAAACCACTGAATTGTTGCTGACTTGTGTGAAACATGGTGAAGCATACTGTGAAGCATTTTGTTGCAGTGGGTCGATGCGTCTCATGTGAAGAACTAGCAGAGTCTAGATTGACAACTCTTTCATTCCGTCACATCTAAGCGCTTGCTTGAGGTTTTAGGTTCTTTGCTTTGAGCCACTGCTATGCAACATTATGCAACAATGCTTCCACGAACCTTCTGCCGCAAAGGACACCCTGCTCACTCGGTGTCTTTCGCAAAAGCTCCCAGCTGCACTGGCCCCACCGGCGCCGCCGGCTGCGCAATGGCCGCGGCCATACCGTTGGACAGCCCCGGCGGCGGCGGCGCAGAGGGTGCTGCTGCCACGGTGGGCTTAAGGCCCGGCGGCGGCGGGAGCACGGACGCTGCTGATTCGGTGGCATCGGCATCGAATCCGAGCATCCGTGGAGGGTGCGAGACAGGCGTCCTCGAAGGTGAAGATCCCTCTGAATCGGCCAGCTCCTCGACTTCGTCGAAGGCCGCCTCGAGGTTCAAATGTAAGTTCTCGTAGACTCCTTTGGAGATACCATAGATGCTCATGCAAATAGAAACGCAAAGGGTCAAGAAAGCTCCTTCGTTTGCCGTGAAGAAAACAGAGTAGTACTGCAACAAAAACGACAATGGAGCTTCAAGACCTTGTTCTGCCTGCAAGATGGACAAATACTTGTCCGTCGGTGTGCCTGTCTTGCTGAAGTCCCTGAAAGCCTCAAGGAACTCTCGGGGACCTCCTTTGAGGAGTTCGGAAATGACTGTGAGGAAAATTAAAATTCCCTGGCACACAGCAAACGCGTACTGCTTGGTAACAATGGAAAACACAAGACAAAGCCCGTCAGAGGCCAAGTCGCCGCAAAACATCAAAAGCCTGAAAAAGGCTCGAGCACGCTCCGTCCATGTCGCGTTGCGCTGTTGCATGTCCTGTTCAAGCTGCTTGGCCCTTCGACGAATGGTTTTCCGGAGTTCTCTGCATTCTTGAGTGTCTGTGAGGAGGCATTCACGGGACCGCCAAGCTCTGAAACAGCTGACCAGTAGCAAAGCAAACAAGGCACACGACGGAAGCAGCAGATATGCAAAAAATATCATGTCGAAGAGGCTCCGGGCAACATATGAACTTCGGCACTGGATTGCCCGCGCGTTGCATGTGTTAACAAATGAAGTTCTGCCAGCGCATCTCTGGTAAAGCATCGCATCAAAATCTCCCTGGTAGCAAGACACCTGTAGCATTTGAGGCACTGGTCTGTCCAACATGTAGAAGGTGTCATCATTGAAGACCAGTTCTTTATAGCAAGCGGTGTAGTTCAGTGCGCATGCCGCAAACCCATCGAAACCACACGAGATCGCCGCCCATCTGTGCTCGGTGTCGCAAATGGCGTAAAAACCTTTCCCGCGCAAACAAGAACTTTTGAAACAAACAATCGGAACATTACTAACTCAACACAAAATCCTAAACTCTCAGCACGCAAAATACTAATTACAGCAATACAAAGGAAGTGTGAAGCCTGCTGGCAAGTCCTCATCTAAATGAGTGCCGCCGCTGCAAAGATCATTTCGGTGGTGTCGTGACCAGTTTGAGTAGTCTTCCACCTTCCACCAATCTGAATATTTATGCTCCAGTGGTTCGCTGCTGACCCAGTCTGGCCTTCCTTGAAAGTGGTGAAGGTGTAATCCTGAGGCTTCACACAGTTCGATGCCCGTAGAAATTAGAACCGGCAGAAGCAAGCATAAACCTTTCAGCAATGTGCCAGCAACGAAGAAGAAACGAGCTGATGCTTGCCTTCTCGACAGGCCAAATGCAGAGTATGACTGGCAAAATAATGTGGAGTAAATGATTCTTCGTGGATCAAACACATTGATGATTCTCACTGATCCCATGCGCGTGGAGCCGATAGCTGCCTGGCAAAACAATTGCAAAACAGAACAGCTCTGTGAGGAGGATTGGCTTTGTTCTTTGTTGTTCGCGTCTGAAACAGAACAGCAAAAAAAAAAACACGGTGAGAACAGCGTTGAACACACGTTGAACACTTCCGGGACTTGGACCACGGAAACGGAAATCACGTCGATCCTTCCAGGAGTCTACTGCGCGGTGCGCTGAACAGTTCGACTGCCGCAGGAACTTGGTTGCGGCATGTTTTGGCACCCCCAGCCTGCAAGAAGAATGGAATCATAAGCATTGCGGGGTGTGTGAAGTATCCAAGCCTCGCAATGACCAACGACTCAGACCACTGCCCAATAAACAAACTCTTATACAGTAAACTAATGTCATTGAAACGAACACGCTCGAAGAGAACTGGATTTTCAACCAGCAAAATGCCAAAAAAATGCGATGTAAACCAGGGGAGGGGCCAGCTACACACGTGTGGGGCATCGTGGGACAGTACGTTGGTTTGGCAGGCCACTTAACTTTCCAAGTTTATTTATCTGACCCATTTAACATACGTGACATCACAGCAAACGAATGTATAGTTTATACTCCTCGATTGTCCTATGGGTCTGCGGATGTTCATGCTGCAAACACACAGGATTTATGATATGTGTAAAGGATATTGTCACTATAACATGTTTTGGTTTAGTCGTTTTATATAATGCCAATACATTACACAGTAGAAATGTTCAGATTTGGAGGAAAAAGGCCTACTTACACAAAATGCATAGTACAGCAACACTTAACCAAAGTTGAAAGACACCATCTCCAACCACTAGTTTATACAAAATGCCTTGCGCAGCATTCAGTTAATGATTTTCCTGGGCATCCAGCCCTTATACAGAATGCCTTCCCTGACATCACATTTGATTTTTGACCACACACCCAATCTCGAAAACCCTCTGATTTATCGAAAAGTGGAGCCAACCTTCACATTAACCTCAACTTGTAGATTTGCAAAGATCCCAAACTGATGGTTTATGATATGCACGTTGGAGCGAGCATTTTGTATGCGCAAAGGATCCTCATTTCATAAACCATCAGTCAACGGGTATTATAGTTCATGTTTATCAACACATAAAGAACACCTGTGAATATTTGCACTGCTTTGCTGGCAAGCAGGTCTGCTTAGTCCCATAGACAAGTCCCATACTCGAAAAGCGGAATATGTGAGCTGTGTGGGCTTCGTCCGCGTCTTGAGGAGGTCCGGGTCTTGAGGGTCTACAAAAGAACTGCAGGTGCACCGTCAAGCTGCTGAACCAGAAGTGGCAAGCTCCCAACTTCCTGGGCAGGGATCAAGAAAAAGATAGAAAAGGGATCCAAGTCTCGGGAGGGGTTCGACAACCCCAAACTTTAGACCCTCAAACAAGGTTGACAAGCAGTGACTCCAATGTCCAATCCCTTGTCCAATCTTCATTGGCAGTGGATGGCGGTGGCTTCTATCATATTCTATCTATTTGTGGAACTCTATAGGCACTGAATAAACAGTATCTACTCAGAAAGTGTTAATATAGAGGCTGGAGGCGACCAACACCCCTGTATCACAATATTTGCTCAAGCAAATACGATTATGAATACGACCTACGAGCTTGCCATGGGCCATGTTGCATTGGACTAGGACCAGGACCTCGGCATGTCTTGGTTTGTCACCCCCTCCCGTCGCAAAGGTTGCCTTTGGAACCAATCCGAGCTCGTACCTTCTTCCCAACCCATTAAGGCAACTTCTTGTCCTGGCCCCCACCAGTGAAGTTTTGGTGAAGGGCAAAAGTCCCTTGAAAGTTGCCGCTCCAATTGGGGACCTTTGCATGCGCCCCCCACGTTTTTAGAGCGTTCAAACCTCCAAAGCTCGTAGGGTTGATTTGCTCCCAAATTTGTCGGCAGTTTTGGTTTACAGCTCCACAGGTATAATGTGCCTGCATGGAAATCAACATGGCTCATGTATTAAGCCACTCGACTCTTACTTGATCTTATTTGTCCATGCGCAAATGATTCTGTCCCTCCTTCACCACGTACGGTCAGAATCGTGAGTGACAAGTACTTTGTTAAACATGTCTTACTTGTGTGTCTGCGTGTCTCTGTTAGACAGTGCTGCCGCCACCGCCGCAGCACCACAACCACAGTACTGCTAAGAAACTTCAAGCGATACCCCAACTCTCTCCGCATCAAGACCCGGCCCCCCAACACCTCTTCCCATCCATCTGCCAGGCATCCAGCAGCACGCAAGTCCACACCATCCACGACTTCCACGGCATCTGTTCCGCGATGATTTCCTTGGCGGCTGCCAGCTGTGCCGCCACCCGGAAGGACATGGCGTCCGCTCCAAGAGAGCGATGCTTGGTACCGCCGCCGCCGGCGAGGCGAGCTTGGGGCGAAGAAAAACCTGCTCTGATAGAGCAGGGTGAAAAGGATTGTGAGGATGAGCTTTGCAGCTTCTAATTCTAATGCAGTATTTGTGGGTGTGGCGGCTTGTTGTTGTGAGGTGCTTTGAGTATGGCTCCGTTCTGGCAATGTTTGATTTCCCTCCAACCTGCCAGGCAAGGGCATCTTGTGATTGCTTGGAGGAAGATAATCCTGAGGCAAAAATTGGCAGGCAAATGACCTCGAATGACCCGTGTCGATCAGGTGCGTTTTTTCGAGTGTTCTGAAAGCAACACCTCACAACAAACTGCAAATGATCGAACATTGCGCAATGTCTTCAGGCCCCACCTGGCCCAATTCCCAACACCCCCGGGCGCCAGGCAGGAAAAAACGATGAAAAAACCAACACGATGTTTATCCCGTGACTCCTAGCCTTTTCTTGGATTCAGACTTCTCCTGAAAGAACATATCATCCCGTGCCCATGCCAGTGGATGTTCACCGCCCTTCGGGCGCGGAAGAGACGACGCCGGGCCGTAAGCCTCGGTGCGGACCCAGGGGCCATCTGGACGTAGGGCTCCGGACCCAAAGCCTCCACCAGGGAGGAATCCTCCAAGAGCTCAGCCTCCCCAGGCTGTAGGAGCTCCTTAAGTGCAGGCTTGACGAGCCGAAGCCGGTCATGATGTGGGTTACATATGTGGTTCCATCCAATCCACAGGACAACATGGTTCGATATACTCTTGACAAAGCAATCAATTTGTGGGTTCACTATATACTCACAAAAAATGGAATGGTGGAAGATCTGCATGTCTATGTGATGTATTAATGTGCTCCACTTGGATCAGTACTGCCATGCCTTCTAATCCACTGGTCTCCCAGCAGTCCACTTGGGCGCATCCTTAGTTTATCGACCCGGCGCTCGGATCGAGCTGGTCGCCTTCGGCCGATGCTGGTCCCAGTCTCCACGCTGGTCCAGGTGCGCTTGGTCAACTGTCGCTTCACGTGGCCGATGTGGTCATCCTCCCGCACCACCAGGTCCTCGGATATTGTGGGGAAGGATAGACAGTGGGAAAGAGAGGTCGGGAGTTCAGGCGAAAGACAGCACACCCATATTCATTCCGTTTGGGGCTCTGTGCTGATCGTTTGAGATGCACTATTTGCTTCAATGAATTTCAACCGAAGTGAGAGGTTCTGGCTGAAGTTCTGCCTGATCCCGGCACGGCGCGACGAAAATCGGAGACCCTCCGGTCCGCGGACGTCCGCGGACGTCCGCGGACCGCGCGGAAGTGCGCGAAGATGAGATGACGCAAACCGCTGCTTCAGAGTCCGGTCAATCAAGGTTCTTGTTGGGACCCTGGAGATGACGGCATTGGGACCTTGTTCGACCTTTGCACGCAAATCAGGAAGAGTTGGAACGTTAGAAACACGTTCCAAAGGTTGACAGAGTTGGAACCGTCTAGTCGTGATCAACGAATCGCAGTGTTCGTGAACTTCCCCGCCGGGGTGTATCTTCCTCACCTGGCTCCCGAAACCATGTGTCCTGACCGATATCCTAAGAAGTCGGTGGTTGATGAGGTATATCGAGACAAACTTGTTCTCGTGCTATGATCTTGAGGTCACCATCAATAACCACAATCCAACCACCCAAGCACCAACCTGAGCTCATTGGGCCCATGCTCTTCCAAAACACCTGAACATCTGCTGAGGCTTGGGCATAAGTGTTTCCACTGACGGACTTGATGCGTAGGTTGCGCCTGCAGAAGAAGTGCAAGGGATGGCTTTGCACCCCTGCAGACATTCACCATAGCCGTGATCCAAACCACTCTGACTATCCCAACCCAACGAACAAACGACTTGGAATACGATGCTTTATGGGAGGCTTTTGGGGATGCTCCAAAGCCACATCCTGGCACCTTTCACGAAGCCGAAGAGAAGCTCAGCAGTGGGAGAGTTGACCACACAGTCCCCTTCTTTTGGATTTGCTGTCCAGGAACCAAAAAAAAAACAAACACCTCCCCAAAAAAAGATCCCTAGGGCTCCAACCATATCCTCAGAAGGTGGTTAGACCCCCAAAACCCACCCCAACCATCTTCTCAGGAGGTAGGATCCTCCAAGGGGTGTCTTTTTATAGCCCCTTAGCCCTTGGCTGTTAAGGGGTGTCCATTAACCACCACTTGGGGGTCCTGGTATGGAAGCTGATTGAAATCAATCAGGTTGAATGAACAAACCGTCTTTTCCAGGCCACTGATCTACCTCCAAGGCCCAGTCACCCTTGGAACACATGCTCACATGCTCGGAACTCAAGACACTGGCGCCAGTTCTGGTGGCCAGTGTCATGTGATGGTTCACCATCCAGTTCCACTTGCGAGCTCCAAAGAGTCCTAAACAATGAACCCATCACTCGGAGCGGCCACTTCTTCGGCGAAGGCTTCACCTTTCTTCCCCGGTCTCTCGATCCCTATCGCACTTTTGGAGGTCCACTTAGATGTTTTTCTTTCCCAAGGCGCCATTCAGTGTTATCACTGGGTGCCGGCTCGCAGCCTGAGAAAAGGTGGCAAGCGAGGAGTTTGCACTGGGACCAGTGACATCCCTAGTCGAAGGTGACAACCAAGAAGAGTCGGAAAACGCAGGGGGAAAGGACGGATTCCCATGGCGCAAGGCTTTCTCAGCAAACACCAACGATGGTATCGCTACCTTCGACCAACGTACGGAAGTTATTCAAAACACTCTGAACCGATCCAGAAGCATCCCGAAGCCTTGATGCGAAAAGCATGTTGGCTTTGGAGCTGGGAACACTTTTTCGGACGTGACGTACTACCATGACTTGATTCTACCTGGAAACCTTTCTGCTCCTACCTTCTACCTGGAATGACTAGTATAGTCCGGTGCTGTACCTGGAAACCTGGACGATGAAATCCAGGAGCAGAGGTCGAAAACACTGATTCACCGACCCGTGGAGCTCACCGCTCGTCGGTCGCGACCGTCGCTGGTCGAAACCTCCGTTTCTGTCGACCCACTTCCTCCAGAAGAGAGAACTCAGCTGAGAGAACCGGCAGGAGCTGGTAGTGAGTTCAACGACAGTGGAACTGGAGATGTCTGGATGTGTTGGTGTCTTGATATGTCTATAGATATCTCAGTCTGGATATGAGGTATCCAATCTTGGATGGATATGTCATGATATGTCTGGATGGATGGAGACCTCATCTTTCAAGCTATAGCGTCTAGAAACAGCGACTGGACGACTGGACGACGAAGAAAAAGGTCGCACCTCCAGTTCCCATCTCCGGCTCCCGGTGAACTTGGCTCCCGTGCCAAGTTTAGTGTCCATGATGACAAGGAGTGGAACTCCACCCGAAGCACCGAGTGTCTTCGTGAGCAGTTCGTGTCGGTTCGGTGGAGTGTTTGTTTTGTTCAGTCCAGTACAGGCAAAGGAGAGGAGAGCTGCGTATGACCTGAATGTCTGTATCTGATGATCATGTGCCATCTGTATGTGATCGCCTAGATTGCCTAGATTTCATGTGATGCAACAGCATGGACACGGCGTGTCACAGACATGGAGGGCGTGACCTTGAGCAAAGCTGGGCCAGGTGAGATATCATCTAGCTCTACGTAGTTCTGACATACGACCATGGCCACGCACCTGGATGTTCATGTCCTCCAGCCAGCCAGTTCACCATGTTCTCCACCCTGCCGTGTGTATCACACAGCCCTGCGTCTCAGCCGTGTGTGTGTGTGTGTGTGGCACATCGAGTCAAACATCCAAACTTCATCAAACTTCCAAAGGTTCATTCCACAACTCTGGCAGCCTCCAGACGTGACAAAACACACACACAAACACACACCAGCACCTTCAAAGGGGTCACCTAGCTGGAAGACCCCGCCCACTACTTAGATGGATCTGCCAGCCAAGTCTCGGCAGGAAGGGTCCGGGCAGCTCAACCAGTTGGAGTACGCTCCGGAAGAACATGGAACGTGAAAACCAGTGGTTTGTGCTCTGAAGCATGCATCTTCCTTGCAGGTCCCATGTTCATCTTCCAGTCCCAACCGCCTCTTGCCGGATTGGTCTCTGCCGTTCCATCCCTCCAACGCCACGCGACACCGCGAACGCCACGCCACGCCCAGGAGCTCGGGCACTTCGATCATTTTTCCGCCTGTTCTGCTCTCATCTTGACTGAAGTCTAACAAAGATTCAGTGAGCACGAACATGCAGGAACTACTAGTTCTCACTGAAGTCTGGCTGAGGGTCAGCCCCCAAGCTTTAAGGGATGTTCACTGGGGAACCGGTGTTTTGACCCACACCCATCTATGATGCTAATCAAAATCTACAATCTAGATGCCAACGTGAGCTTTCTACTCACTTCTCCTCAATCCTCTTCTGAGAGTTGTGAGGATCCTTCGGCTCAAACAACTGGAAAGCCACAAGATTTTGAGATAGCCCATAGTTGACCATATTGTTCACCTTACCCGGGTTGAGCAATCGATGAAGGTTCAGCACCACCGAAAAGGCATTGGTCTTGGCCGAAAAATCTTCATCTGCCTGGAAATCCGAAAGGAACCGGCCTAAGCCTTTATCAAAGTCCTTCAACGTCTTTGCTGCTCGCATCTCCTGCAACAAGCTCTGCGTCTGTCTCTGCAAACGGGCGAAACCATCGTCCGCATAATGCCCCATGCCTCTGGCCAGCTTCAAATCATTTTGAATGTGTCCAGCCATCCACTTCAAAATCAATGCCTGTTGTGGCGAAACACTGCCAAACCTTGATGCTGCATATCAAATCACCAATCACCACCCACTCTTTTGACTTTCTTGAGATGTCCCTTACTACTGTACCTGAAACATCAGATATGATATGCTTCAAGAGAATTCAAAAACCAATACAGAAACACAAAAGTGAAGCCTTTTGTCGGACACAAATCAGAAACAACCACTCTCTAAAAAACCGTTTAGAGGCCAAGATAGGGCGCCGGGGCACTGTTTCAGGCCTTCTCCTGCATCCTGCCAAACCTTGCTCACCTCGATAAAAGCATCGAATTCCAGCTGCCACTTTGTGAGCTGCGCCTGACCCCCGAAAGAAAAAACACATACACACACTTATATATTATATTGGCTTGGATGGACACGGACACAAAATCCAAAAGGCCTAGATATATAGCTCCATTTGAAAAAAAAACAACGTTACAAGTTGATCACTTGACCCTAAACAGGTTAAGTTTGCTTGGGTCTTCCTACGACTGGTTGTGTTAACTTCTTGGATTTTCCCAAAAAGGAAAAACAGTGAGAAGCTGTCTGTCTCTAGCAGAAACACGTGACTTATTGAGGGGCCCAACAAGTCCTTGCCTGCAAGTCTTCAAGCAACTTGCTAACCTCTGCCTTCTCTGTCTCCAGCTGTTGCACTCGTTTGTTCAACAACGGAAACCTCCTCTGCCAGCCATAAGTCTTCAAGTTCTCCTCAATCACTTCGAGCGCCTCTTTCTTCGTTGAGATCGCATCTTCAAGCCGTTCCTTCTTGTTCTCACGCTCCTTCAGATCCGCCTTCAAGAAGAGCTTCACATCTGCAGCCCGTTCCTCTTCATTTGGAGGTTTCACATCTGAACGACTCTTCCCCACCACCTCCTTGAAGGATTTCTCGGCTGTTTTGAAGAGCTTCATGGCGTCAGCCTTTGGCATATCGAAGTCCTGCAGGATCTCAAGCGCTCTGTTCACGATGCCTTCCACTTCCATCACAAAATCCCGACCTGCTGCCTCCACCTTGGCATCCCGCCATCTCCCGGACTTCCTGAGAGTTGTTGATACAAACCTAAAATATAAAGGCACCAACAAAAACTGTAAGAAGGCAGAACCAAAGCCAACAGTTGTCCTTTTAAAAAGAGTCTTAAGAAGAATAATCCCACTGCACCTAAGAACACCTTCGCTAGTGAGGCCAAAGAGGACTGAACAAGAGAACGGTAAAAAAGAACCTGTGCAACCCTAGACCAAGACAGTAAAATACTTAACAATATCGTAGAAAACGCCTAGAAAACACAAGAAACATATACACCAGCACCCCCAAATGGATGCTTTTTGGTTGGTTTTATGTACAGTAAGACAAAACCTCCAAAAAACATTCCTTTGGGGGTCCTGGTAGAAACACACTTCATCTCAAAGCCTAGCTTCTCCTTGGCCTCTTCTGAAATTTGTTTTTGAATCTTGCGAAGATCATCAAAGAGCTCGTTGAGCTCTCTCGATGAACTCACCTTGCAGCTTCAGGCAGCTTTGTCTGGTGAAGACCAGTGAAAACCCTGCAGATGGGTTTGATAAGCCGTCTCTTTGCCACTGAAAACCGGTGCAAAAAAAGGAGCCTCATGCTTTTGAAGGGCAACGTCCCACAAGCAGTTTGGTCTATGTTCCCTGCTACAAGGGACTTTTAAGGGGCTCCCATTGTTAAAGGATCTGAAGACCACGTTTTCTTCACAGTCCTGGATCGAGCAAGCATGGTTTTAGGTGAAATGAAGTGAAGTGAAACAATTAAGCCCATTGATATACGAAACAAAGCGTTGAAACAAGCCCGGCTGACCACTTGGAGAATATGATCTTGCACCCCCTCGATCGCAGTTTCTGCTTCCTCCACAGCTTCCTGCATCTCAAGGGATTTCAACTGGTCACCCAACATGTAGCGGAAGGAAGCCACTCCTTGGCCAGGTTTTTTTCATTTGGATTTGCCTCTAAAACCCTGGTAAAATATTAAACATATCAAGATCGTCCTAATTACGGGCTATTAGTCTAAGGCAAAAAAAAACTATATAAAAAGAAACTTCTTAAGCAAAACCAAGTTCAGGGTTCTTCCGTTTTGTTCATCGATGGCTTCTAGTAGGACCACTTGCATGTGGTCTGTCAAGTGGTTTTACCCTTTTCGATTCGTGATTTTGTGCGGTTGTTTGGTATTCTTTTTGCGCTTGGCGGCTTACAGGTGATTTATAGTGTACCCGTCTGAATGCTAATCCTTTCAAAAGACTAGGCAGCAGGTCCTGTCCTATGGAGGTTTGCAAACAGTGGTGGTCAAATGTGGTCAATAGTCTTTAGTTGTTCATTCAATTCCTGTTCCTCAATCTCAGACCCCCGGAAAACAGACCCAACCTGAACAACGAGCACATGCCGAGAAACGCCCATGCACCGTACCAATCGAGACCATGCGTTGCAGAAATGCGTGGGCGTATTGATTTTGAATGATCCGGGCTGCCAGGGCTTGATCTGGGTTGAGCAGCAAGTCTTCAACGTGCATCTGTTGCAACTGACCTCGAAGCCGCTTCAACTGGCACAGCAAAATCTCAAAGAAATCGGGCCTTTAAGAAGGGCTTTTAGTTCCTAAGACCAAAAATCACACAATAGTCACCTTTCACAGCAAACATAACCCTTCAAAAAAACTAAAATCCGAAGAAGCAAACCCAGGTGACTTGATAGACTTGAGTTTCCTCTCAAATGTGCCCAGTGGAAAGAGGCCCACGCGCCATGCCATGCCGGGCGACGAGCGACTGATGCCATGGTCTGCAACATGGCAAGATGAGACGAGAGAAATCCGCTGGGACAACGATGTTCCTTCTGCTTGAGGCATTCTGTTTTTCGCGCGATACTGCCATAATGAGAAAAAGATAGAAAAAGTACATCGCAGGTGCCCGGAACAAGATGAACAAGGCACCAAAAAATTCCCAACTGTGAAATCGAGCTTGCCTGCCAGCAAGAAGGATCCCCGATCTCCAAGTCTCCCTGACTGCTACTCGATAGACTTTGGAGGCTCCTTGTCTTTTGCCAAACCACTATTTGTTTCCTTCGCTAGAAGGAAGGCTCCAAATCGTTTGCAAAAGCAGCGTCTCTTCTGTGGCTACAGAGAGGGATTGAACTAGATGTAGTTCTCTTGCGAGAACAAGTCTCATCAAATCAATTGAGAGTCCAAGAAATACCAGTCAAAACGATAAAAACCAACAGAATAATCCATGTCCAGTTTTCCAGTTTGTGCCATTCCAAACTGCATGCTCTTTGCGAAGTCTTTCGGTAATACCTAAGTTACATTTTGGAGAAATTGGAACCATCACCAGCTCCGAAGCAGGCCTCAGCAGCCACGTTTTGGCCCCCACCTGTCCAAACATAACGATCAAAATCAATCGCTCCTTACCTACTGTAGCTTGCAAACGAATGTCCATTTGCTAAGCTCTTTTCAGTTCAGGCTCAAGTGGCAGCTCAACTGTCTCACCCATCACTATTCAAAGCTGTCTTTCGCGTGGAAAAAAGAAAAGCCATCTGTGCTTTCCAACATGTCTTCGCTTAACTCCTCATCTTGCCGACAATAGCTAACATGAAAATATTGACAAGGTGCAAGCACTCATGGGGAATGAGCGGTGATCCACTTCCAGAGTCAGCAAAATCCATTTATCACCACATCGCAGACTGCCGAAGCTGATCTCAGTCTGAAATCTCAGACTGCTATTTGAGAGCGTAGTGAGATCCGAATCTGAGCACTAGCTTTGGGCTAAAGTATGTGGCACAAGCCCAAAAATACCCAAAATTGATCTTCATTTCCAAGAAATCAGGCTTCAACTTCACAACTAGGGTCAGCAGGCCGAAGATTGGTGCTGAATGTGGCCTCATACCAAAACAGGAGCTTGAAACCTGTATGTTGAAGCAAACCTAATATTTGAATGTGAAACATGATGAAATCACTAAATTATAAACTATCCAGATCAAACTGAAGCTTCAAGCCGGTTCGCGCCTGGCCTCCGATTTAAAGCGTTCCAACCAGTCTCCTGGCTAACACCCCTCATCTCTCCGTATGTCTGCTGAAGCTGTTCGTGAGCATGCTTATATCAAGGCGAGCAGACTCTGAAGTGATCCTACACGAATACCAATGTCATCCAATCCGCACCTCGGGCACCACGGGCACCGAGCTTCCACCCCTGGCGCAGGGACCGAGCTTCCACCGCTGTTTGGACCGGCTCCCGGATCGGTCGCTTCGGTGAAGCCCGGTTCGCCGGTGCGAGTCGACGGGTGGAGGTTCCGGTTCCGAAGACGCAAGGACTGGACCCCAAGGCGATGGCGATTCCGGGGATTCACCGCGTTTGAAAGAGTTCAAAGATCAACATCAGACGCCCAAACCAAGTGAAGAATGACATCGTGACGTGACGTGACGTTCGGCCCATCCCGGATGTTCTTCGACGGCGGCACAGCTGTCTGGGGTGTTCATTTGTGCTTTTTTCCCGCAGGCGAACCTGTGTCGTGGAGGCAGTGAAACGGGCCGTCCCAAATATTTCTGCTGCGGATTGGTCGCCGCCGGGTGTGCAGGTGAGAACCTCGCCAGGCCAGGGGCCAGTGTGAGAACCTGAGCTGTGAGGTTTCCCAAGAATTGCCCAAGGATCCCCTAAAGTTTCAACGGGAAACTCCCAGCAGGGTCGGTGTTTTCGGTGCTTCATGTTCATTCAGAGGAAGCCCATGGGATTCGCGGTCTCTGTATAACTCGATCTGTCTTTAGAAGCACGCTTTTTTCAAGCAGACCTCCTTTTGTGAACTCCACGTAGGCCCTAGGGCTCCAGTCGCACCTCCTCAGGTTCGGTATGACTGGACCCTCTCGACCAATCCCCAATCCCACCGAACCTCACAAGGTACGACTGGAGCCCTAGGGATCATGAACCATATGATTGACCTAGAATCGACGCCAAATTGTAGACGCAACTAGTGGACTGCCCCATGGACTGCCTTGAAGTCGCAAGCTGGACGTCGCCTCGCCACCCAAAACTGGTGCTCGGAGTTTTCCCTGGAAAAAAAGAATCTTAAGTGGTTTTCCACCTGTTAATTGTAGTGGGGTGTCCCCGTTCCCCCCCACAAAAAGAGGTTGAATGTTGTCCACTTTTCCTGGCCATAGGTTCAAGTGGGGCATCCTAACACATCTAGAAACACACCTACAGTAGCCGGGAGAAAGGGCCCGTCATCCGCAAAAAAAAAGGCTTTCTACCAGGACCCCCCAGGAGTTGGGTGGTTGATGGACGCTATAAATAGACACCCCGAACGAGTCGGGTCCTGGTATCTTCCACTTAGTCCTGGGTCCAAAATGAACGTAACCGGCACCTCGGCGCCACGCCCGTCCGCCAGCAGGGCGTTGAAACAGTCGCAGCCCGGATGCATCGAGCACTTTCTCATGGTCAACTTTCCGATCCAACGAAGCCGAAGCCGTGGGGGGGTCGCAGATTCACCTGGCAGGTCTGAAGTAAGGGCCATGGCATGGTCTTTTCAATCAACCCCAATCCCCCTTTAAACGGTCAACCCACGAAGGGCCATTCTTCCACATGGTTCTGAAAAAAAGGGGAAAGCTGAGCCATCGCGCATTCGCGCTAGCGCGCCTAAAAATCCGCGAAGTGACGGGTGCCTGGTGTTTTTCGGCACTGGTCCAAAGTCGCAATTTTGAGAAATAGGTACAAATGCCATGAGCGTTGGCTAGCAAGCCTTTATCGGAAAAAAACAACACAACTTGTACCACTTCAAACATGGTAACATCGATGTCGTTCCGTCATCTTTAAGCTTGCAAGTCGTAATTAATCAATCCATGAGTCGACGCTCACAGCAAGTGGTGGTGGGAAAGTGGCATTCCATGCACTTTCCACGAGCTCGCTGACCTCAATCGATCTGAGTCGATCAAAAGTTGGGCCAAAAACATAAGTTAAGCTCCCACCTCTCTCATGCAGAGCTTGTTGCAGGAAGCACTGCAGGAAGCAAACCAGGTGATGTTTTTTGTGTCCCGTCCCCAAACACCTCTTGCTCTGTCTTGCCGTGAGGCTTTGAAAGAGGAGGTACTTTGAGTATATAATCTAATGGCCACCGATCCCTTTGATCAAACATATGAACTATTGATTGCAATTGTGCCATATATTGATTATGCCCTAGTTTTGAACGAATTAAGATCGTTGATGATGTTCAAGGGTCGCTACTTTGACATGATTCTCGAAAAGCAGGCTTGTAGATTCACAAGGCAAGTGTGTCTCTCATAGTCAATTTGATCCGTTGTTTCGGAAATTCCCTGCTCTAGCGATTCACACTGCGATTCACCATTCTGGAATCCTCCAAGCAGGATCCCCGGAAGCACATGTTGAAATGATTTGAAATGGAACTACTACACATAAACTCGCCTCTTCTTTGGGTCTCTACGAATCCCACACTTTGTTGTGTACCTTGAAGTTGTGTCAACATTCTGCCTTTCATACTATCTATGATCTGAACCTGCATACCGCAGGTAGGAAACAGGCTCAGGAGAACTGGTATCGGCATCCTCAAAGAGATCGAAAGTGGTGCGGACATTCACAAAGATACCAGGATCCTATTCAAGACTAAAGGTTCGATCTTGACACCAGTCATATTTGCTTGTTTCATTGCATGGACTCTCCAGTCTGATACCATCATGTTGAGGATTTACTCAACCCATCTTGCTAGCCTAGCAGCTAAGCTAGGCCCTAGCTGCTAACACCTGCCTCAGCCCAACCCTGCCGCCCATTTCTCATGAGGCTTTCTGACAAAAGTCCCGACGGGAGTTGACCAAACCAGGTCCGACCAAGACCAGGAAACTTCTTTGCTCCAAGATGTTATGGCATGTTCTCCTCTCCAAGTAGTATTCATGTTTGGCATTCAGTTGTATTCAGGTCCACTCCAAAGAGTATTCCTGTCTTAGTTGACGGTTTCAGAGTCGTCCTTCTTTTGTTTCAAGGACCATGTATGTGATTGAGGCTGGGTGTGGGGGGTGGCAAGGTTCGCCCTCGTCCAGGAAGCAGTTAGCCAGCCCGCCCAGCCGGCGGCAACCTGTGGGTGTTTTCTGCCAGCTTTCCCGGACTCTCGGTTCTTCATGCCCGGACGGTGGGCAAACTTGGTATCAAAAAAGAGTTACAGCGGTTTCAGAGTAGATGGCTGTGTAGATGGCAGAAATGCCCAAGGTTTGGTGGTTCATGGTGGTTCATCTGGACCTCCATCTGTCTAAGAGATCGAATGGGGTGCCAGTGCCATCCCAAACCATTGTATGTGGTTCCAAGACCGACTGGCATTTCCCACGAGCTTGCGGCGTTTCTCCTTTTCAATGCCCACTCGAATGAGATTATGAGATGATCAGGTCGTGTTTGACCAGACAAGTTTGTCTTCCTCATTTCCTGGTCTGGGCCATCTAAGGGGACTTGGTCCTTTTCAATCAACCCTCTCAGGGACCGCAATCCGCTAGGCTTGTCACCTGGAGGCTCCGCTTTCTTTTGACGAACCGGTCGCCGCTCTCGACGGGAAAGAGTACCTTCAAATAGAAAGTGGGACATGACACTATATACAACCAGGTACCCTGCTCAAAACTCACATGGAGTCTGAAAACCACTGGTTTGTAGAGAAAAACAGTTGGACTCAGGGTGCCAATCGACCCGGGTCCAGGTTAGTTTTCAGGAGTGCACTTGTACCCATTTTGTGTGGTACTTTGAGACTCCACATGGGCATGTATTGAAATAGGAAGACCTCCCAGACAACGAAACCTGGGTTCAGGTTTAAGGGATTTAGACCAGTCTACCCAGCCAGGGCATCATTGTTCCTAGAATTAGAATCTCCCCCCAGGGATTGCTAGTCTCCCGTGGCTGCAGCTTTTCTAAAGTGTGCTTTCTTTCGTGGCCGGGGTCATTCTGCCGGGATTTTCAGGGGAAACTGGTTTCCTTCGAAACGGCCCGGAGAAATAACGTAGCATCTTGATTAATCATCCCCCCATTGAGATTGTAAACCCTCTTCAACATGCGAGGGTGATATTAATTGCAAGATTCTACTCAAATCACCGCCGACAAAGGAAAAGGAGCCTACTGTGTGTGCCTGAGTCCTTGATTCTAGAGCTATCCTTTGAGCGCGAAAGTCTTCTTTCTCAGCTTCTTTTCGAATCCTCTGCAAGGCTACAAAAATGACCCAATGCCATCATCTGCACGACCAACCGCAGAAAAAAGAAAAAACACACCACCAGCACCCTCCATTCGGGGTCTCCAGTAGACTATATACCCCAGTACTTAGTGGGATTGTGTGGGATTTTGCATTGAGCGATGTGAAGGTTAACTCGCATGTCGTCCAAGTCCATGACGAAAAATGGTCTCCGAGGCAAGAGATGGACTTCGATGCCAAAAGCGCGGCCCTGAGTGGACCGGGCCCTCACCCCGCAGGCCTTTCTCAAGCTCTCTCGAAGGAAGGTACCTTCGAGCCCTTTAGAATCTCTGATCTTCCACACCAAGTGGTCCATTGACTCAGCCCGCTCCCACGACCGTGCCCCTGTGCCGTGACCACGAACCCCACACCCGAACGGGACTCTCTCTCCCGGGACCCCGCGCCGAAGGGGACGGCTACTCGGGTAATTCACCTGAGGCCGAAGGACCGGAAGGACGCACGGCGGACCGCCGTGGGCCAAGAGAGGTGGACAGTGACCTGAACTAGGACCTGGGGTACCCAACTGGGATAGTCTAGTTATGTCTAGTTCAGGTCCTTCAACCTCTGTATCCTCTGTATCTTCCGTGGTGTTCGTTTCAACGGTTTAGGTGGAGTCCAACACTACCCCAGACGCGACCCGTTTGGGACTGCCGATCAGGACTGCCGAGAAACGGCCAGGGGTGCCAGGGGTGCCAGGGGTGCCAGGGGGGTCAATGGGGCGGCATAGGTTCCAGTCCCATGGAGTGTATGGGTATACATCTAGCCTGGGAGTTCAGGATCATGCGTTCAAAAGTTCTCTGACGACTGGTGATCCGAGTTCCAAGCATGACACCTAAACAAACAAAGTAACTATAACTAACTAGCTCACTGACTGATTAACGTCAAACTAAATTAAACTAAACTAACTAACTTAAACAAACAAGTTTTATATCGTATACCGTATACCTATTAAACAAACCAAAAAACAAAATGCACGAAGGAATGCAATGCATGACACCTCAACAAAAAAATGGCACGTTCGCACCAGTCACGTCTTGCAAAACCAGGACTTTCAGCACCTCACCTAACCACCAAACCTGGACCTTCGAGTCGGAGTATGGCGCCCGGGATCCCATAGGTGTAGTGGGTTGATGTGGGCGGACCCCGACAGCGCCTAAACACTGTGTTGGCGACGCACCCCAAAACCGCGGACTCTTCTCTTCTGCCCACAATCTGTCTGGATCTGGCAGTCCCCACAACTCTGGAGAAAATTATGATAGGATCTATTGATCGGCAGCATCCAAAGCATACATGGAATGTCTGGGTGCGGTCGGAAAAAAAAAGAAACGACGGGCTCATCCGTGGAGTGCAGGAAACTCGAGGTTTACCGACATCTCCAGGCTCCACGCGCCGGCGTCTGTTCGCGAGGAACCGGTCGACCAAGGTGAGCGTGCAGGTGGGTCTTCGTTCTCGCCGCGCCGGTGGTTAAGCCGAGGGACGATAGCCCAACCAATCTGATGGAGCTTGGAAGTTCCGCTGCTGCATAAACTTCAACAAGGTGACCTGATCGGAGTGGGCAAAGGAGTCGTCGTCGCGCCGCGGAGGTTCCGCCGCGGGGGTTCAGCGGAGTGAGCGGAACGCGGGGGTTGGTTCGCGCTGTGAAGGGAAGAGTGACACGGATGGATGTTTGCGGGAGAAGAGGGGATGGCTTGGACACCTTGGATGAGGTCATCAGTCTTCATGAGCCTTCCAAATGTGATGTTGGATGCCAAGCACTTGCTTGAAGCCCCGATGTATCAAGGGTCATTGGACTCCCAAACTCCTCGACACTTGTAGATTTGGGGTGATCGACGTGAATCAACAGTGAATGAAGAAATGTGTGTGTTAAAAACAAAAAAACAATCTTTGATGGAGAACTCCCCCCTATGTAGTTCCCATGCTCCGCCGTGACTTCCTGCGTTCGGGCTTTGATGTAACTTTTCTTGGACTCATCCTTTGACCGTATGGGTAGAACGAACGACTGCTTCCGCTGCTCAAATGAAGCAGAGTACTATAGTGAGATCTCTTCAGATCGCATCTAATCGCTGATCTCATCGCTTCCCCGAAGAAGAGTGCCCCCTCATCGCCCCCCCACCCTCGCCAAACCCTCCAAGGTCCCCCGCAGTTGGGCCATCCTCAGGCCAATCCGCCTGTGAGGTCTTGATTCGGTTGGTCCATCGAGTAATGATGGTCGTCCTTTGAAGAAGTTTGCTGCTCCTTTGGGGCTTGTCTTGAGTGTATTTTCGGGGAGACCGCCCAAAAAAAACAAAAGACCCAAAACATACCAAAATCCATCGGTCGTTGGGGATCTCGCTATTCTGTGAGGTGAAGATTGGTCCTGCGGGGCCCAAGGCTTGCTTCATTCTTGCACCACAGGTGAAATGGAGACAAAAGCAATTGATTGATCCAGCAAGTTGTACCAACAACCTGGATCAGCCCGGCCCTAAGTGGTCGGTTTGACATCATTTTTACTGAAGCTGATCATACAAGCAGCACGACTGAACGAGGTTGTCAGGACCAGGTTGTGCTAGGTCTTTGGACCTGTAGGGAACGGATTTCTTTCTTCCCAGCAGTTCTATGATGGATGGGTCCATTCTCACAGTCCAACGAACGTTGGGCCCCTCAAGGCTCCTGCACCGGGTCCTGCATCTTCTCAAGTTTGAAAGCCTGGGTTTCTAGAACGAAGTATCCAAAAACCTCCCACAACATGGAACAACAATGAACAACATATACCCCTATATACTACACCTCCTAACTAGCTCGTGGTCCTTTTGTCTTGCTCTACCACGTGTTCCACTTCGATACATCTTGGCAAGAGTGAAATCATCAAACTGCTGCTCTGATGTTCTCACAATAACAAGGCTGATAGGAGTCAATCCAAGGTTGAATCCAAACCTTGAGCAGACTCAATCCAAGGATTCTACCTATTGAATCTGCTCAAGGCTTAAGCAAGAACACCGTGTCTCGCGCCGGGTCCGCCTCAGACTGGACCAAGCGTCGTCCAATATCAGGGCGAGGCTGATAGTGGCAGGTGTAGAGCCTCAGATCGATCCAGCGAGGCGTTCTAACCCACAGGATATAGCGCCTACTGGGGGCCGAGTCGGTCAGGTCGGCCACGGGAAGGTCGGTCGGCAGTGGGACGCTAGCTAAGATAATAAGGATATATAGCAGGTGGACCATTTTGTTGTTGTTCCTTTTTTAAACGAAGACCATATATGCTGGTCATGCAATGTCATGTTGGTCTGATGCAAACACTTAGGCCCGGTGTTCAGAACCAGGAGACTGGCTCTTCAGCCACAGGTCAGACTGGACCGGTCCGATGGTGAGAGATGACCGATCAGATCAGATCGATGGGGAGTCTCTGGAATCGTTGAATATGGTCTAACATAGATTACCCATGATTACCCCCAAATAGGTAGAAGTTCATGTCTGTACGACTTGCCTATAGAATCCACAGTTCTGGATAGGTAGAACTTCGTCGATCCCCACTAAAAATGCATTGGACGCCCGTGTCACTAATCTATTTGGGAACCACTCTCAAAGGCTCAAACGCTGCGGAATGAATGGCGTTTTGAAACGGCCATGCTGGGGAGTGCAGACGGCGGTCTTTTCACGCCGAGGCACAGACGAGAATCCACAGACTATAGAGTTGGAAATACCCAGACCATCCATGTACGACTTACTAGATTGGGGTGGATCGGCAGTCCCAGACAGGTCGTGTCTGGGGTATAGGCTAGGTTTCAACCGGCAACTTCCAAAAGATGTGGGTCAAAGATTCAGACTGAGTTGACCTGGTCGAGTCGGAAAGGTGACAGTGTGCAGCCCAGCCACATGGAATTCACCGAAAAACAGAACGAGGCTGGGGAAGCTGGGCTTGGTTTTTGAACCTGCAAGCTAGGTGAATACCGTGAATACCTGCAAAGGTGATTTCCGTGAAATGCGCTTTCCCTGTGTATCTGACGATCCAGAAATAGCACATCTGAGCACCTATACTTATATTTTAGAACATGTTATGGATTCTTTCTCAAATTGGGGCCTCATCACTGTACAGTTCAATGAACCATGGTTCTACATACTGTGGCCATTTCTATGGTTCATCTTTGTCATACGGTGCAAATATCAAATATCATCAAATATCTATGGTTCTTTGTCACGGCCATTCATGTACTTCCTCAGAAGGTGTTGGAGCTTGGGGGGTCCAAACACCATTTGAGGAAGTACTTGGAGCCCGGACTGGAAACTGACCATGCTTTCATTGGACACCCTGTGGATGGCGGGTCCACTCCTGCATCCGAGTCCAAATCGCCGCATCCATCGGTGCCCCGACATATCTCTGGCCGCCAACCACTCACCCGCCTGCCGGGCGATCGCCCGTGTCCCGGGTCGGTACGAAAGGTCGTGCCGAGAAAATGGCGAACCTTTCGAGGGAGAACTTGTGAAAATGCCTCAGCTCTGAAGTCTACTTCCCAAGCACTCATTCAGTTTCTCTATAGATCATTCTATATCCAGTTCTTTGATTAACGCTGACTTTCAGAATCAGTTGCGCACAGCCTATGGTACATATATATGGTGTTACTCAAATCCACTCTTGGTGACCTTTATCACATATGAGGCCAAGGTTTCATCTCCAACCACTATAAAAAATAAGACTTTGGAATATTGGCGGGAATCGTTGCACGTGGCACATCGCAAATTACATGAACTTGTCAGCAACATGCCTCCCACGCCCCACGCCCGTGCTTCCAACTCCCAAGATGGTTTCGCCACGCTGCAACAGAAGAACATTGAGTCGAAACAAACCAACTTAGACACCGGAAGGACTGGGAACTGGAAGAGACTGTGCCCCTCCTCATAGTTCCGATAGGCCATGTGAAAGCGTTGGAAGAACTCTTCCGAGAAGAGTGCTCGCATGTGACTCACATCCTCGGTCAGGACTGCGCCGGTCGTCCCGAACGGAACCGTGAAGAGCGAACGATCGAGGAAGGACTGCGCGGTAAGGAGGTGACGCCATACTAGAAGGAGCCATGACCAAAGGTTTTCACATCCCCAAATCAGGTTTTTTTGCTCGGGAACTGCCAGGTGTTTGATGCTTCGTGGGGGCCCCTGGTACTAGGCAGGAGGCGCCACTCTGGACTGTCTGGACTGTCCGGCCGGACCCGAATTCTTCAGGTCAGACCTGTTGAGGGACCATGAACGGAGCGTCTGGGGTATCTTCGGAGCGTCTGGGGTATCTTCTTCGTCTGGGGTATCTTCCCAAGGTGATCGATTGCACAGGGCAGTCTTCCTGGTCTCCTTTCATTGGGGGAGAACTGGAAGCCCAACGGCATCGCGATTGATACATGTTGCCCGCAATCTCTGCCGTCCTAGCTCTCCAAACCCTCCAAAAAGCTTACACCCCCCCGACAGAATCCATGATGGTCTTCGGACTGAGACCAGTCATCCAACCCAGCTGCGACCCAGGAAGCATTTGGGTTCTGATGAGATGAGAGGCGGTTCTTTCGCGGCGACATCACGAGAGGTCTGGTGGCGTCGTGCGGCATCCAGACCATTCATCAATTCAGGGAGGGCTCCTCTTGTGGCGAGCCAGAATTTTGGGGCACCCGGGGGATGCCATTGGCTTCCAAGATTTCTACACTTCTACGAAAAATCATGTAATAGACGTATAATAGATATATGGTTAGATCGCATGATATCGCATGGCCCCGAATCCCCGAAGACTCACTTCCAGCTGCAGAAAATCACGATGAACTCCAACATTCCGCCCAACTGCTCATATATACAATCCCCGAGCAAACCAACAGAGTAGTAGACTATCCCATAGGTACCCCAGGATATGGTCCTGGTTCAGGTCACTGTCTACCTCTCTTGGAATGGATCAGAGTCATGCCAGGGTCATCTTTGCACCCATCAGCCACACCCCGAATGCCCCATGCCGCCACCGACTGAGTGCTGCACAGGGTTGCTCACCATCGCGTCCCAAACGCGGTAGTCCTGTGCTTTCGCACCGCACGGTCTTGTGCCAACAGTTCCACCCAACGTCGCATGGGAAAGAACCTGTAGCCTCTCGCCTTTTGCAAACGGTGTTCCCCCCCGTGTCACAACTCTAAACAAAGAAAACCAAAACGAACGTCCCGCCTGGATTCATGCCCCACAGCCGACCCACCGCCGACCAACCGCCGACTCCCCGGTCCCGAACGAAAGCGGTCGCGACGTCGGGCCGGACGCGGCGTCCTCCGCCATCTTCTCGCCCTTGCGGACCTCCCGCAATTGGCGGATCTTGAAGCGATTCCTGGCGGAATCGAAACCACGCGCGGGATTCCAAGTCGGTCGGTTCGGTTCGGGGTGTTTGGAGCGAGGGTCGAAGACAACCAGGTGTTAGTAGATGTGTTACGTGGTCATTTTCACATGTCTGGATCCGGAAGTGGATGGCACCGAGTCTGAGACTGGTCTGAAAGCTGATTCATCCGAGTCTGGGCCATGACAGTCACGTAACCATGACGAGTGCAGGGGAGTGTATTGATTTGTGATTATGTTCGAATCCCCAGGTCTGGAACCCTGGTCTCAACCAACATGAGGGTGCTTCCAATAGGCTACAGTGACAGTCTGCACATCACAACTATAGTGTTGGGGTGCTCCAACCACTTGACATGTGTTCTTTGGAGTTTCAGGTGTGAATCACCTCCTCCCTTTCAAATCACAATAATTACGTATATATCTATACCTTGAATAAAGAACCCCGGCTTTTCCACCCCGATTCTTGGATCTCTGCGGTCTCTCTTTCAGAGTCCAAATCACCTCGCTCGCTAAGGAAGGGGGCCCAACTTCACCTCTACTGGCACACCGTGAGCCTCACCGTTTCATCCGGATCTCTTTGGATCTGTTGACCGAACTGTGCCTTGATCCTGCCTAGGTAGACCTCTTTCGGCCGAGAACTTCTCAGTGACCGGAAAAAAATAGTGTCTCCATCAAAGTCTTGTGATCACAAAAGCTGGGATAATTGTATATACTGTCTTTTCTATCCTATACCGGCTATACTCTGTTTGTTTTCTTTCACATGTGTGGAAGCCTTTTGTTCCATTTCACCTGTCAGTCTACTTGCCTCGTGCCGGCCGTCTACCATGTCACCGGCCGTGCCGGGCGAGCCCGTTCGCTGTTGCGTCACCCGAGCCGTCGCCTGATGATCCGATCGGGGCCCTTCTCTTCCACTGCGATCCTGCCGATCGGCAGGCAGGAAGTACCCGGTGGTTGCAAAGGGAAAGACATGCAAAGGAGGTTGACCTTGGGTATATCAATACGGTATATCCCAGAAAACCGATATAACAGTGGACTTTTCCGCTAGTGATATATATATATATAAGTTTACCAACTGTTACAGGCAATGGGACGGACCCAAGGTTGACCCCGTCTTTCCTATGCTAAGTCCAAGTTCTTTGGAGTTTGACTCCCAAGAAAAGGTTGAACAGCTCAATGAGGCCATGTGCTCATAATGTCCAATAGGTTTTTGCGAGCGGCACTCCCATATGTTTGCCGGACAAAATCTCTGATCTAGCCTCAAGACATTGCCTAGAATGAGTCGGCCCCCATCTGTTCAGGTTTGTAGGGTTGGCTGCGTTTCAAGCTTTGTTGGTGGCATCAAGCTTGCCATAGTTTGGCACGCCAACAATGAGGGCACGAATCAACATTCCGTGCTTTGGAGGTTCTATCATCCATGTTTCATGAATGGTCTGTGGTCCCTTCTTTATCCTCTTCTCTCCCAGCAGAAGCATTCCTACCCCCTTTCCCTCCACCAACCGCCCCCTCCATTCCCACACGGAGGACCCACACGTATCGTGCACTACCATCGCATCGGTCCAATTCGACGTCCTCCGGGTGTCCAAATCCATCGTGTAGATCCGCATCGGAATGCGTGAACCACTCACGGTGACTTGGTCGATCAGCCGACAGCTCAACGCCACCTGGCCACGATGGGCGCGGCGGTGGTCGAGTACCGCCGGGCGCGTGACGGGACATTGGAGTCCCAGACTACTGGAGCAAGCAGCCCGAAGGACAACTTCAACTACTGGAGCAAGACCGAAGGGGTGGTGTAGAATGGTTTATAGATCACCCCTGACTGTGTATTTCACTTCTAATTCATCACCACCCTTTGGGTTTTGCTGGCTTAGCTAATTAGGTCTATTTTCAGGGTTCCAATGAGCACGAAAAGCGATCCTTCGTCTCCCTTCCAACCGGTGTCGCTCCACACCCGGTGGAGCACCCGGGTTTTGGTTCCGCGGCCGACGGCCTCGTGGCTACACTTGTTCACCTGAAGCGCGATGCTTCGGAGGATCTTTCAGATGGCCCGGGGGAGGTGGGAGGAGGATGGGATGGACACCCCATTGGGATGGACATGACACCCCAGAAAAAGAGGAAATGATGGGTACCATGAGCACCAGGATTGGGACATGGGATTGACACACAATTCCAGACCATGTTGTTGCTTCCCCAATCATTCCAATCCTTCGTTCTTCCAAAGTCCTTTTCGTTGGAATGAGTCAACAGTCGAAGCATGTCCGTTCGAACCCCTCAAGGGAGTTGGCATTGGACACTCTGAAGATCTGATCCAGTAGACGTGCGGTGGGACTTTCTGTCATACATCCGTTTCAAAGGTGGCACTGGAGCCCTCTGGCACCAGGGTGGTGCCAGAGGTGTCCAGCCCCACTTTCAGAGGAAGTGCCAGTGGAGCCCGTTCGGGAGGTTCCACAGTTCCTTCAGCCCAAACCCTGCCCCTGCAGCGTTGGGGAGTCCCACGCGGAGGTCTGCAGAGGTCTGCCGGTCACTGAGCAGCCTTCAATACAATCCCCTTCATTTGACTATATAGACATGACCATTCCGGACCTCAAAAAGAACACCTTCCATCACCATCCATCACCCAAGATATACTTGGCCAAGTAAAGGACGTTCCTTTTGGGTCACCTATGTCTGACAATATTCTAGTGGATTGATCCAGCAAATAGTTGCCTACTTTGGAATGGTTGACCTGAGGTCAGGCATATGTTCCAGTCCCATGGATGGTCTGGGTTAAAACCATTGCCCAGTGGCCATGCTGTGCGACAGGAGCATCCAAACCTTGAATTGGGATGTCGCCGCCTGGTGTGCAGAGAACTCTCGGATTGGGAACCCCGGTGGCAGTGGCGAAATCCAGCGAAATCTAGGCAGAAAAGGCAAGAGATCTTAGGATTGAAGCTGGTGTGTTTGATTCAACAACCCACTTGATGCATGTCCATGCGCGTTTTCAGGGGCACGACATGTAGAGCGACGTCCCATGGAGACTGACAATGGTCCCACACTCTTCCCACAATTGCTGTTCCTGATGCTGTCAGACATGCTGTCAGCCTCCAGCTTGGCAGCTACACTGACGTTGGGCGACAGGTAGGATGCATCGATCTTGTACTCGCTACCAATGGCACCCTGACGCGCGCGTGCGTGCGGGGATCGTGGGGCCTGGGGAACATGAATGGACATGCCATGAGTGCTTTGGGGAGCCCAAACGGAGGGCTCTTGTTGATACTTTTGGCTCCCAGCCTGACAGGCTCAAGAAGTGCTCCTTTCATGCATTTTCTTGCTTCCTTTAAGCTGGATATCCGCGTGCCCCTAGACAGCGGAAATCTTTAAAAAAAGAAACTTCCTGCAACATCTGCTGCGTGACTTGAAGTTGCTGAGAGCTCAAGCCGACCAGCGCACGCCGACCTGCCTCGATGGCCCAGCCGTGGTGCAAGCCGAAGCCCATGGACACACGGAAGTCCTCGCCGGGAGAGGGCTTTTGTCTGGGAGGTCGTCTTGGGTTGGACTTGCGTTTTGCGGTGTGTTCTGCGGGCTTCACTTGTCAGCGAGGCCACTGAGCCCAAAGGCCCCTCAAAGGTCACTGGACCAGCTGCGCACTGGAGGAGGCGGTGTCTTTCTTGCTTTGGTGGTTCGAATTCACCCTGCCCGTAGTTCTCTCACTCTGCTATACTTCTGTCTATGTTTGTAACGCGACTTCAACTCATCAAAGTGTCGCGTGACAACCACCTTTCCATGTCACGATGCTCGGACGCTACAGTACGCAGCCCATGTTCAGCATGACAACCAGCTGTTCCGTGACCCCCATCCGAATCCCAACGTGGGCTACTCAAGCATCGAAACATCCACAAGGCTGCAGCCTTTCGCCCCGCGCGTGTTTTTGGGGAAACGCTTCGCAGACACACCGTGCAGGTGGGGAAAGAAGAGGAAGAACTCAGAGACGCGGTCCTTGATGCGATACTGAAAGCCGGGATGCCATCGATATCCTGCGAGGATTCGAGACCTCAGTTTCGAGACTCCCAAGAGACGAGACTCCCAGAAACGAGACACCACACCGAGACTTGTGCAGCCCACAGCCCTGCAGTTCTGGGTAGAAGATGGGCTTGGTCATGTAGAGTTCACTTCTAGCATGCAGCCTTTATCAACGGAATACCAAGTCCTCTGCAAGTGCCGAACGGCTCCCAGGACCCACCCTGATGAAATTGGACCCTTCAGCTTTCCCTTATACGTCCTTTCATGGTCCTTAAGGTACTACAGCTCTGGATCCACCAACACTTAAGGAATCGTCCAATGAACCCAAACAAACAAAAGATGAGGACAAATCCCCCAAGACGAACTCCCAAACCTCTGCACCGACTGCTAACGGATTCCGCCAGATCGATCTTGTTCTCAGCTCCGAACTTGTTCACCTCTGCCACAATCTTCACCTTGATCCACATACACTCGCCGCGGAGACGATGAGATGGGCCGATTCATGGTTTCTCTCTAGACTCTAAAAAATTGAGACCCTCTCCAAAGCATCCGGAAAACAAGCAGCAGGATCTGCTGGCTGGGCAAAAGGCCAAAATTGAGTGATTGGACAAGTTGGAATGATTTGTCTTGTCGCAGCTCAGTTCAAACCTCCCTCAGCCAGCCCACAGCCCTCAGCCCGTCCGTCCGTCCAAGTGTTTCATTAAGATTTAAGATGATTTAAGATGCTGTTTGACCCTGAAAAAGGGCACGCAAAATTCACTGGTGTGCCGCACAGTCCTCTCGTCCCAGGCATCTTTACCCAAAAAATCCCAGATTCCAGCGGCACCTTTTTCCCACCCAAAAACTCCCAGGTGTTCACTCCAGGCTGCATAGGACATCAACGCCATGTCCGCGAGCTTAGTCTGCTTTTCTTCCGAGCTACCTGGCACCCCAGAAAAACCAGGGGAAAACCAGATGTTAAAAAATCCCACGCGACCCCAATGCCCAAAAACATCTAGGCTAGCAAGTGAATCATCTGAAACAGCTGCTATAACATAACCACTGAAAGATGCTGCTTGTCTGGAAACCCCAAATTTTGACCATGACAAAACCATCTCGAAAAGAAACACTGGAGGTGGATACGGAATAATTTAGGATTGGAACATTGAGCGGTGTTTACCCAAGTCGGGAATGAACCGAGACAAACACCGACCTGAACCGAGACAAACACCATGGTGTTTGGCCCGAACTCGGTCTGAACAGGGTATATTGGGTGAAGTTGGTGTAGCAGAAGTGGCTGAATCCCTCCTATGGCTGGTCCCTGGCAATGTCTACTCTTGAGTAACGGCTGAATGAATATGTATCGCCAAAGGAAACTGTCGGTGAAGTCTCCGTAGGGCTCCAACTACCCCCATATACCAAATGGCACACCAAGTCAAACACGCAAATACCAAGTCAAACACACACACACACATATATATATATAACATATCAACAATCAAAGAGTTGCATTCTGCTGCATTCAAGTATCTCTTGAGGCTTGAGTCACCTTCTCAGGGACACGCATTGAACGTCAAACCATCAAAACTCCCTCGCCGCCGGGTTGAAGCCAACTCCTGAGTTCAATCCCACCCCTGCAATTCCTGATGGATCTTGAAAAGGTACCTACCGGCTCCAGTTCAAACCACCGGCACTGGAGCTGCTTTCAGCACCATGCGAACAAACCACCCGAGAGACACACCATGACACACCCTCCCTATGACCGTCCCTTCTTGAACCGATACCAACTCCCACCTCTTTCCCGTTTGACGCCCAAAAGGGCAATACACCGCGTGCACTGCCCTGCCATGCATTGCGATGCGAGCGCAACAGCGAAACAGCGCAGGCGCTGCGCACGCGTCGCGTCGTGTCGCTGGTGCACCGCGCCTGAGAGGCGCCAGATCACCAGGAAGGCATCTCCGATGTTCCGGTTGGGCGCTCCATGGAAATCGTCCACACCTGGTCTCTGGGCGCGGCCGACCTAGTCGAGTCGACCCAGGGACCGAGGAGGGGAGGAGGGAGGAGGGCGGGGCCGACCTGGTCGTATGAAGACGGAAAGGACGAAGGGGAGAGCGGAGTTGATTCCGTTGGAGTTGGAAGGTTGAGATACTGAGAGATACTGAGGAATGTCATGGTGTTGCTTTCATGCCACATTCCCTGCTCTCTTTGGGGAACGGTTCTTATCCACCCAACATCTCTGAGGAAGTCCCCACTAAGCCCACGTACTGCCAAGTCACGACTCTTGGCTCAATCCTAAGTCTACTCCTAAGTCTACATATGGGGGTTCAGCAAAAACACATAGAACAAACATGAAAAACACATCTAAATTGGGGGACTTGATCCAAGATCAGAGCACATACAGTGGATTTGTGATTTGCATGTCTCATTTAAGGTGCCTCCAACTTGGTCCTCACTGAGGTCCTCACAGCCATGTACAATCTCTCCCACTTGGTTCACCTCAGCAAATGAGGCAGTGGCCACTGCCACAGAGAGATGCCAGGTCGAAGAACAGCAAACAAATCCCCGTTTGTTGTTACAACCAATCACCATGAGCAAGTGAGAAGCCGCGGAGTTGGGGGCTTTGTTCTGCTCTGCAAGAAGGTTTCTGCTCTACGCACGTGGATTTGCTTGCGGAATCGGACATCAATCAATTCCCCAGAAAGGGGATTCACTCATGGGGAACAGAAACATCACCCTACCAGGCATAGCCGCATAGCCTTCTCTGGCTTTGAAGGGGGCTTCATTGACATCGACCCATCTTGTCGACCGCCGACCCCTCAACTCATCTTAACTATCTCAACCAAAGCATGACAAACGGTTTTGAAATGTGGCCGTGGGTCATGACACCAGCATACCGAACGCTTGAACCAAACCCGACCGTTTTTTCGGTCTAACCTCACTCGCGGGACTGGACTGGTGGACTGGTTGGGCGAACATGGTGGGTCACGACCCATCCTCATATGTCACTTCAATATACTTCAATCTTGTTTTTTCGCACCTGTTTCAGCTACCAAAGCCGTGGACCGGCCCAAGCCCTTCATCTTCGATCCAAGCGCTTCAGGGGCACCTTAAGCTCAAGCCGACCTGAAGGAAGCCGACCTGGAGGTTTCCTTAAGGTCCCGGTTCCTAGTGTGTCACTTTAGGTAGGTTTTTCATGGTTTTTCTCAGGTCCCCCCCTTCAAAGGACTCATTCCTCGTTTCTTCCTTCAGGTAGGCTCTCCCTTCACCAAGTCCCCCTTCACATGCTGCAGGATCCTTAAGGTGCGCACAAACGAACCAAAAACTCCTACGCGTCTCTCCACAAGGGCCCGGCAAAAAGCATCACCTTCTCCTTCAAGACCTTCAAGATGGGCATGGGGGACGGAGGAAGAAATAACAAAAAATGCAACTCTGGAGTCGAAACAGTGATTGAAAGATTGAACTGATTGAACCCATTGAACCCCATGTCAGGTGACTGGTGTACATATTGCATCATAAATGTCAAAAGTAGAGTAGATTGTAGATGTTGTGAACAACAAAGGATCTGCACTTAAACTGATCTATGGAATCCATTAGATGTCTGTGAAGTCTTGCCCAATGACCACAATCAACGACCGAAGGACCAGTTCTGCTGTAGCGTCGCTCCTTCGCGAATTCAACGTGTTGTTTACACTTTTTGCTGTCCTTTCTATGTAGTTTTTTTTGTTTGTCGACATGACAATGTGTGTTTTCAACCAAACCAAAACGGACCATATTCGCCAGCGGGTTCATCCCAAAGAAAAGCCTTGAACATAAAAAATATACTGAAACAACCACCCAGAAGACCCTCCTCAGACATATGGGTCCCCAAAAACACCGATTTCATCGCATCAGGCTGATGTATGGGTGATTGATTGGGGTTTATTTAGGACACATGGGTCTGGAGAATGATATCATCCCAAGAAATCCACTGAAAAACATAAACAAACAAAAATGAATAGAATATAGTATGATATAATAGAATGGACGGCATCCAACATCGACCACCCATATTTTACAGCTCATGGTTTAACCGGTGAAGTTCAAAAGTTTCCCCGGTTTCCCCACTTTCCCCACCGGCCCCCACCAACACGGCCGCGTCGCCTCGGTGGCTTCCATGAAGTGCCGGATGTTGCAAAAGCCGATGATGGCATCCACCTGCGAAGTCCCCTTGTTCCACTCATCCAACACCACGGAGCGAGAGCGCCGTTGGCGAAGCCGGAGAGATACGACATGAGACCCTTTGGTATACGATCCACGGGTGTTGTTCTCTTCCAAAGAAATAGGATTCGTATACATACATGTTCGCCTTGAGGTGTCCGACTTGATTCCCTAGGTCGTTCTTTTTGGTGGCATTCTGAATGAATGATCTGCTTGCTGGCGTTTGGGCTTGGCACATCCCCGACTGTCTGCGTTTTGGTCAAAACAGCATAGTCTGCAGGCGTTGTCAATCAGAGGTCTTGCTTTTGCCATCCCCATGCATCGCCTATAGTATGTCTTCCACCAGTCTTCATCATGTCTTCATGAAACAAACATCAACATGTACCAGTACCTTCAAACCATCTCACCAATGGAAGACCCTACATTACCTAATGGCTTTCCAGCCAGGACAAACAGGAAGGTCCAGGCATCTCAATTTCATGTGGCTGTGGGTCATGGCACCAGGACACCGAACGTTTGACCTACCTACCGACGTCTCTTTTCGGTTTCGGTCTCACCTCACTCGCGGCTGGACTGACTGGTGGTCTCGTTGGATGCTCCGGGAGAGCCACGACCCATCCTGTCACCCAAACTGCCAGAGGTTGAAGAAACTGAACTAGACTATCCCAGTTGGGTGCCCCAGGTTATGGTCGTCCTAGTCCAGTTCACTTTAAGTTCACTTAAACTCTCTTGGTGCTCCAAGGTCTCAACCGTCCGACTACTCGCCCTACTCTCCAAGCTACGAGCCGGAGCTCTTCTGGTCGCCGGCCTTGGAACCAGGGACCATGGCATTCACACCAGCAGTGGCGCTCACCTGTGCAAAGTTGGGATGAACCCTGAGGAGGTAGGCAAGGTGGTGTAGGTCCAAAACGAACACCCAGCATCACAGGGAAGTTCTCATCGCGCAAGAGGTTGCGATGCATATATCACTTCATCCCTGTTCATTCCCTAAGTTCTCAGCCCCTTTCACTCTACGACTCGAGAACGCCTCCTTCCTGAGGCGCGCTCGTTTCACGCCAGCTATACCCGCCCGCCACGAACGCCAACGCCCGAACGGAGGTCGCTTCACGCCTTCATGTTCTGCCCGATGACTTCGGCGCCGGCTTCTCCAAAGCCCAGCGCCAAAAGACCACCCAACCTCGGTCGTGCGCTGGCGTGACCACCGGAGGCTCGTCGAAGGCATCGCCGACATCGGACGAAGGAAGCTGGCGTCAACGGGGTCGGTCCAGTCTGACCGATCGGAACAACAGGTTTGGTCCTGAAAACCCCATGTGGTTTTGCCTTGCCAGCTGGCCAAAAGGAGGTCCAACTGACCCCGTTTTTTGGTTCGGGGAAAGGACCGATCCAGACGGAGAAGACATAAAAAGATACCAATGACCGATCCCAGGTGTGTCTTTCAACCGATCCGGGTGGCTTGATGATGGTCTTCTCCAGCATCACTGTTTCCATCGGCTCCTGGTTCGTTTGGGCGTGTGGGATCAGGTGGTCTGCGAGCTGATTCCACTAAGTGAGCCATGAGCTGCGATCTTAGGCGCCTCCGCCCTAAGAAGCTGGTCATCTCTCACTTTCCTTATTAAGTTATAAGTACTTGCAATCTGGATCAATCTGGGGCCTACAGTCGCAATCTTCGGCCAGGCTCTCCATGTCCCCGCACTAGCTGCTCTACCTCTGTGACCTTGCGGTGTTGGAGGTCTGGTTTTCTTGAAACACACGTATTTTTATTGCAAAACAAGTTGTGCTTGTTATTGCATGCGCCAAAACCAAAAACACACGTACCAGAAAGCAAACACACTGGCACCTTGTACTTCTTGGCGTGCCGGTACTTGTAAAGGATCTGCGGCGGCGGAGACCAGCACGAATGGACGTTTTAGTGAGTGTCATGACCACTGTCCAACATCATGACAATTCAAAGGGCACATTGAAGTGGAACAAAGACTGCTTATTTTACATGATGCAATTGCCAGTCACCTTTAAAACATCAAAACCCAAAATCATCTGGGACAAAAGAATAGCGTGTCACCTCAAGTCAAGGGTCGATGCTTTCGTGACCACGAAGCTCCTACTCCCTTCTCATGCTTTTCACGTCGGTCCCGTAGGTCCCGCCTGCCAGGGTCTGCTCATCTGCGCGAGCTTCTCGCGGAAGCGAGCCTGGGTCCGACGTTTCAAACCAGGTCTGGGCCTCCAAATGCTTTGTTTTGAGGGTGTTAGGCTGCGTATGGCTGCGTTGAGATAGGCTTGTTTCACGTGTTCCTGTAGGATGTTGGGTGGGTGCTGTTCTCGAGATTCTCAAGGTTGACTACCTTTTCGAGGTACTAGTACATGAAACAACGATGTGCCGAACCCTTTCCTATTGTTTGTGTGAAAAAAGAAAACAAAACATGTCTTGCGGTCATGGTGGAGGGACAATTTGTATGCATTGTTTTATTGGGAATGGTGAATGGTATAGTAAGCCTGCTGGTGGTTTGGGAAGTGTTTCCTGTGTCCATTCCTAATCAATCGTTCCAGAAAAGAGTCGCCATACATCAACAAAGCCTTGGACTCAGTTTAAGTTTAAATCACTCAGTGACCCGCGAATGAAAGTAAATAGCTTGGATCAAGCAAGAACCAACACCCACTAGTAACCTTTTTGTAGTCCCTAAGTGACCTGTTGCAGGCCTTTGTGTGACCTCAAACCAGGGGATCAACAGGTCACTGGAAAGATCCCAGGACAAAACTTCTACACATTACCCAAGAGACATGACATGTGTGGAGGGCCAGCGGCAAACGTGTTGCACCCCATCTTTACTTTGTTCAATGTTGACACCTCCCTCACAGGCCGAGCGAACGGTCAACACCAAAAGAAGACACAACAAAACCAATCCCAGACACTCCATGCCAGGACCCCCAAAGGAATGTTTTTTGGAGGTTTTGTCTTACATAAAACCAACCAAAAAGCATCCTTTTGGGGGTGCTGGTGTATGTCATATTTGACCCCTTTTCAACCATCCCAATGTAGACAACTATGCCAGTCCCATGGAGTGGTTCGCCCCGGGGGGTGTGGGTGTCTTGCGCCGAACCCCTTTGACATGGTAACCGGTGTTTTGGAGCTCTTCCAAGCCTCTTCGACCTCTTCTCTCCGGAACTCAAGATCTCCCAAGCGCATCGCCTCAACAGCGCAGGTGAGAGGGCTGTCGCAAGCAGGGTGGGCAGAGACTTTCAGAGAGGGAGAGATGTTGATAGGTCCAAATCCCAAGCTGTATTGCTGAAAGGGAGACATGCGTGTTCTAGAAGAGTCTTGGTGTTTAGGGTTTAACCTTGCAAAAATTAATCAGTTGAACCTCTTCCACCACGGAGATTCTCAACTTTACTGATGATGAGGGGACAGACTCATCCGCAAATGATCCAGGATCCCAGTCCCGTCCCCGCTGCTCTCCGGGTTGGAGAGAGCTCGCTGTGGCGCCTCCAGTGGGTTGTCTTTAATGGTTTCCATCTTCTCGATCATCCGCTCCTCGGGGTTGAAGGGCCGGCACGGAGGGTTGAAGGGGTCAGGGTGAGGCGAGAGGCGATAGGCGATACCTGGTGCGATGTTCCACACGGAGGAATGCAGCACCTATGTATGTACCTGGCTCGATTGAGGGAGAGAGGTGGATGGAGAGAAGGGTGGACCGGGCTGGGAGATTCTTTTGAGCATGAAAGTCACATTGCAGCAAAGCCAGTGTCGTGTTCGGCACGCATTGGGACAGGACATACTGTAGGATCTAAGTAGAATGTAGAATATACTATTGGGAAATACTTTAGAACATATAGTAGATCTAAATAAAGAAACACACATAAAATCACATAAACACACCCAATATGTCTGATTTCACATCACTGGGTGATTTCAAGAGATCAAACATTGTCAGATCCAGGAGCCAGGAGATCTTTAGGAAACTCATGAAGTCTTCTCTCAGTGGAAACCCCAATGGTCAAACTTTGTCTGTGTCTTCGGTGAGTGAGCCCATTAATATATAGTAGATTAGATTTAGTGCATACTGTAGACCAGTCTCACACAAACATACTACTGTTGGATCCAATCCTACTTCTTTGGTATGGTGTGAATGTTGACTAATCAAAATCCAAGATTGATCCAACGAAGCGTTGATTTAGAAAAAACACAGAACTTTTGGGGTCTCCGGGCTCTCGCTTTCCGCGCCGATTCCCCCGGCTGTAGGGCCCTGACGATGGGATTTAGAAGGAGCTCATTGGCATCCTGTGGATCGACATGGAGTCGTGTGCGGCCAGGGTAATCAGGAATTCACTGGGCAGTGTAGTAGAATAGGGAAACCCTGCAAAGACCATGGGAAGAGCAAAAGGAAGAGCTCTTAAGGCGGTCAGACCCTCTTGCAAAAAGCACCCACATGCCCTGTGCATGGCCGAGCGGCAAAAACCCATCCACCACCTCCCCCCAAAATTGGGGAAACGAGCGTTGATCTCTGTACCGTACAGCTGAGTGGGGGGGTCCCCAAAGTTACGACGTAACTTAAGAACTCCTCGTTTCCCCGTGGTCGGCTTTCCGTGCTTCACATCCACTCTGCTGTCCGACGTCACCACCTTTCACATCTTTAGACACCCGACCAGACCAGGACCATCTGAAGGTGTTCGATCAAACATCGTGCACCTTCACCAAGCCAAACACATTGATTCGAGCTTAATAGATCTTGCTTTGCAGGTTCAAGGAATATCCACTGGTCCTCTCAGAGTGTTCATTAAATTGATAGATGTGGAGGCCCTCAGAGTCTTCCAGGCATGGGAAAATCCTCAAGGCATGGGAAAACTTCTCATGTTGAGTTGAAACCTTCCATTATTGTGCTCCATATGTACTTACCCAGCGAGCCAGTGCGCTCCGGATTTCGGCCTTGCCTTGGAAAAGGTCATGGCACCGACACCCACAGCGAAGCAAATGAAAAGGGTCTGCACAATGCTCAAACCCGCCTGGCGGTGGAGCTGCAACGACATCCACAGAAACATCCATGCATGCAGTCATCTCTTTCAAAGTGCAATCGTGGTAAATCCCCACCTTCCGGGACCAGGTTCCTTTGGTCTAGTTTTAGAAATGGTTCTTCAACACAGAAAGCAACATACCCACACACACACACAAATTTGAAGAAAACACCATAATGTCAACAAAAAGTCACAGACCCCACTCAGCCAGGTATGTTTTGCTGAGTGCAAGGTGTGTTTGCGTTTCTTGCTTTTCTAAGTTCTGAATAACATTAATTAACATTTCTGTGTCAAGAAAACTCCTTAACACTATGTTGGATTGGATTTTGTCTGACCAAAGGCTCAGGGGTGAAACCAGGACAACCGAGCGTTTTTTTCCGGACGTCCTCAGCAGAGCCGACTGTAAAGTATATGCGGATATCAGCAGGTTGGAGCGGATTTTAGGAATCCAGTCGATCATTTGAGGCTTCAAACCTCCATACGCTCCTGCAGTGATGAGATGTGATACCTGGTGGATCACAGTTTCCACTATTTAAAGAAACAGGATGAAACAGGGCTTCCCAGATTCCCAGCTCTACGGTTTAAGTCTTTGAAACCTGGGATAACGGGATAAGTGATTGAGTCAAATCAGTGATTTTGCCAGGTCCACATGAACAACAAGGTCAAACCATGGTCCAACTGGTCACCCTCTCTGCCTCTGCGCAAGCTGGCGCAAGCGCTTTCGCGCGCCCCGCCCCATCCGACACCGACCGACCGAGACCGAGACCGACAGACCAGACGTCGGGGACAGACCGACCGCCTCCAGCTGGGTAAAGCCCCGTTGATCAAACGCGAAGACGAAGGAGAAGCTGTCACTCTCCTGGACATCTCGCGTGACGAAGACGAAGACGAAGGCTCGACCGGTGCGAAGACGAAGGGGAAAAGCAGAGCAGCTGGCAGCTGGCAATAAGACTTGAAAGAACTGTAGCACAGCCATTTATCGCAATCTGTGCAGCAAAAAAGACATTTAAATGGGCCAACGTGGGCTGGCACCACCCGGGCAGCACCCACCCCGTTCGGCACCTTCGGACCTTTGGAGCCCCCCTAAGCCCCGTTTGGGTGCACGGGAGTCGGGCTGGTGAAGCGTCGAAGCGGCGTCGAACCTGTGTTGTTCTCCGAAACGTCGGCCCCAGCTCTGCGGGCGTACAGGTCCGAAGGCGGACGAACATGCGAGGCAGGAAACACAGGCAACGGATCCAAACGGTTCCAAACGGTATAGTAAAATTCTAGATACTGTTGTAGAATACCAAAATGATCCAACATGCTAAGTCTTCTTTCGATTGATTCTGCAACTTTTGTGCCATGTGATACTGGGTGTCTCCAGGTCTAGGACTCTAGGACCCTTCTTTCGGTTCTTCCAACGGCCGCCGGGCTCATTCACCCCACCCCGCGCCGTGATCCACACCCTGCACCTGTGAACTGTATGTCAGAGGCGTGACATATTCCACCTGCGCAACCCCGGTCCGCTCCCGACTTCCTTCGCCCGCGCCCGAGTGTTCATCGGTCCGAAGGGTCCGAAGGTCTGATGGTCCGGACACTTCATTGACTTCCTGACTTCTGAAGGGTGGATCTAAGTTCGGTCAACTTACGGGTGTACACATGGGTGTACATGGTCTTTTCTGCCCCCCCAAAGCAATCGATTGAAGCGATGCGAAACAACAAAGCGCTCAGCTTGTGATGTTCACTTTCCTACAAGAGTGGGCGGCCTCCAAGTCGACACTTATGTTCTGCTTCTTCTCCGACACCACAGACACTCTACCAGCACCAGCTGCTGGGTGCGGCTAGGTGCCTCCGAACAGCGCAATTCTGCGGTGATGGAGCAACCCGTCGAGACCATCGCTCGCACCTCCTCGGCACCGGTCCAGCGGGTGACGAACGGTCGAGCGGGTGACGAACGGGCATCAAGAACATGGGGTGGGCCGCTGAGCAATGCACTGATTGAAAGGAGGTTGCAAGCTAGGCATTCAAACAGACGTGCCAAATGACTCCGGGTGAGGTCTTCTCGCCAGGTACGACCCAGGCCACGCACATCTCGGACCCTTTCCATGAATGCCTACGGCAGAAAGCGGAAAGCATCTACCAGAAAGCTCGGAAGTGGATGGCACCACCTCCGAAATTTGGGGCCGTACCATCCAGTATCATGATTCTTTCAAGAACAATGAGGAAAAGGCATCCATTTTCAACACAACATTCACCAACCATCTGAAAAAGACATCGCTACATCGGAGAAATGAAAGGGTTTTGCCCCCCGAAAATCTGCTGCAATGCCTCCAACATTCGAATGGAGACCTCCGATCTGATCGCTTCGCGGCGCGTCTCGCGGCGCTTCCCCGAAAGAGTCGGTGTGTTCATCCGATGTCCTGAACTGGTTTCCAGGCGAGACGTCCAAGGCGAGACCGACCGACCGATGGATGAACTGGACCGTCCAAGGCGAAGGCTTCCGATTGACCGGACGGCTGGGTCCCAGCGATGTCTATAGACTAGGCTAGAGTACTAGCTAGACTAGACTCAACACCTTCCGATTTTCTCCGATGTTCTCCGTCAGATCCTCGGGAGTCCCTGCCGGCTGCACGACGACGCCCACGGCCGTCTGGCACTCTTCCTGCCAATTGTTGATGAGCCTGAAGCAGGATGGGAATTGGCCAAAAAAGTCTGAAAAGCTGCTGTTGACATGGAGATGGCTGTTTCATGCTGTTTACATGGCTGGCCCAACTATGAAATTGGGGCCTGGCGTCTTCTGATCTTCTGGCTAAAATCACCCAAGGATCATCTCCAGATGGGGCCCGGCAGTTTCTTGAGGGCATCTACAAGGTCTACTGGCCTGTTGAGGTCGCTGTTGATACTGGGATCAGTCATGTCCATGCTTCATGACCGCGTAAAAACAGATTTCATCCTCCCCAAAAAGTATTGACTTTGCTGGAAGTGATACCCTAAATAAAGGGTGGGGTTGTCCACATTTGGTGTCAAAAGTCCTAAGATATGAACGCGATGAACGAACTGGATGCACATTCTTACGGTTGGTCCTTTTCCAATTGAAGCACCTCCACACACCCGGTCCCACCAGTGGCCGTGGTCCCATCCGCAACGGGCCCCACCAGCCGGGTGATTCGGTGCCTCTGCTTGGTGGCTGTCGAGATCGCGCTGCCCACCTCGCTGATTTGTTTTTTTTCTGCGGCGATGCACGCGGCGAGGCACGCGGCGAGGATGGTGGGTGGTTTTGGGGTGAATCCAATGCAGAAGAGGTCAGCCAAGAGCAGATATACCCTATAAGATATACCCTAGATTGGGTCACCCTGGACATACCCAAACCTGGATTGGTTAAAGAAAACATCGAAGACCCAAATAATCCTGTACCAGTGCAATCTGATTGGGGTCGATAGAGAAGCTTGACTGAAGGTTAATTGACACAACTCTTGAGAAACATTGTGTGTTGCCACGCCTGGGACCAGGGTTCACTCTTGGCTAGCTAAACTCCTACACTAGTACTAGTTCTGGAATTCCCAACGAACCTATTACGAAAGCCTAGCTATTATTGTGCTTTCAACAAATACCATGCCCTCCCCAGCTAATACGGTCCTTTCAACCATTAACAGACCCACCATTGAACATGCGCGCGTTCCACCATGTCTGTGGATTCGTGCTTTGGATGTGTGGCGATGTTCCAATCTCACCACACCGACCACTCTGAGAGCACCCCGCCGGGCCCTGGTAGAAGTCGCTCCGGGCGTAGGTCGAGTCCCAAACAGACTCGGCGGCGGCGGAGGGTCCAGTTATCGGGAGGCCGAGGCAGAAGCCGAACAGACCTATCCTTCATAGCGTACCTTTTTGAACCTCTTCTTGGGCAGAAGTTTCAGCTTGAATACAGTTAGGTGGAAATGATTGCCTGATGTTGCCTGATTATGATCTGGGAATATCCAGGATGATCTAGGTATAGGCATTCTTTTACACACCTAATGATGGCCTATGACTCAAAGGCTAAGAGACCCGAGCTGAGGGACACAAGCGATGAATCAATTCGTCAGTTCAAAACATGCAAAAACCCTTCAAAAACACGTGGCTGTGGGTCATGGCACCCTATATCACCCTATGGATGTTCATCCTTCAGATGCTCAACAGGTTTTGAGCCTTCCATCTTTTGCCGCCCTGGTCCAACATGCGCGGCGTTAAGGCTCAAATGCTATCGTTGGAACTCCACTCTTCTCCGTTGACTCGGATCATTCTCATCTCTACGGAGGATCCTCCAGGCCAAACATTGGAATGTTTTGGTAGCAGGGATCTGCAGCTTTTTGACATGCATCTTGATCGCTTCAGAGATCCCACTTTTGGAATATCCACTGCAGCAGTAGTCTCCGATCGTGTCCTTCGTCTTTGACAAGAAACCTTTTGCTTCCAGAAGGCCAACAATTGGCATGATTTGATCCCGCGCTGTCCGCTGCTTCCGCCAATTGGGTGGGTATGCACTGGAGAGAAATGCAGCACGCAGCTTCTCTTTCACGTCGCAGCTGAAGTCTGAAGGCTCAGGCAACAAGTCCATCTTCCGCAAAAGGTTCCTGTTGTTCTTCTGATTGACGAAACAAAGCATGGCCTCGTACTCATCAGTATTCTGCGCATTGAGGTAGCGAAGCCTTTTCAATGCTCGAACTGTCAGGTCTTTGGAATCTTTCAACATAAAGGGTCCGCCGCCCATGAAAATGGATTGCGCAGCCTTGCTTCCATACGTTTCTCGCATGGTCTTGGGTTTTGAGAAACCCTGCTTGGTCTGGGTGTCCTCACTCTGCCCGTACACGGGCAAGAAAAATGCCAGCTTCCCAGAATTTCTCTTCCACAAACAGGCCTTTGATGCCTCCTTCTTGATGATTTTATGCACAGCAAGTGGTGAGTCCTGAATCGGGTAGACAGTGAGATGTCCTAAAGCATTTGCAAACCAGAACTTGGCACATGTTTGTGAAGTGTGCCCTGTGTATCCCAAATCTTCGAGAAAGCATGTCACAAGTTCGAATGGCCGCTCATAGCCGGGTCCGTCAAAGAATGAATTGGGATCTGAAAGCTTCACTGAACCAGTTCCATCCTCATGCAAAATAGCTCGAACCCGTGGCCGTCGGTCGCGGTCTTTGTGCAAGTCTTCCAGCTTCAAGACCTCAATACCTTTCTCCTGATATTTGGCTAGCACAAAGCTTTTGCGCTCAGGAACAAGCACTAAGTAACTGGGTTTAGGCCAGAATAATGTCCACAAAATCGACATCTTGTGTCAACAATGTGTGGAAAGACTCTGCATGGCAGATTCGATGGCCTCATCGTTGGGTTCTCTCGAGTGATCCCTTCTATAACGAGGAACCGGTCTGAACACAATGTCAGGCGCTTGCATGAAGTTGTTCCACCTTCTGTTCTTAGCTCGACCTAGGGCGGCAAAAATTTGAGTCCGGACCTCACGGTTGATATCCTTCAAGCGGTTGATTGCTTGCTTGATTTCGTGAATGCTGAGTGAGTCCGCGTCAACCAAAAGCTCCGTGACGGGCAATGCGCCCAGGCACAAAGGAAGTCTGCTAGATTGCAGCATCAGACTGGATGGAAGGGATAACACGCGACACACTCACAGAATGTAAAGAACAGCTTGTGTTCTCTTTCAAGAGAGTTGGACATCCTGTTGCGTTAAATCTAGATCCACTGTCTGTGATGAAGATCCTAGATGGAACATCAGAAACTGTGCATCCTGACACATGAAAGCACGTGAACATACAGCTGGATGTGTGTCTTGGAAGTGGGAAAAGCATGGGAACAAAAAACACAATGTTTGGATCGAATCCACTTCACTGGAATCAACTTGAGAACATGCTCACTTGTTAGAGCTCTAGAAATGCACGCCGATGTTGACATGACACAAATATTGCAATGTGGCTCTCATACAATGCTGGATCAAACCCCCTTGTTTGGGGGAGCTCATTGCATGGGCAGGGTGAAGGTCGGGATGTCTTCCTTTGGTTGTTGTGGCTGTTGCCAAAAGGAAGTTTGAAGGTTCCGTCATTATTTACAAGCACACTAATGTCATGCCTATCCTATAGGATTAACCACATGAAAATTTACAAACTGATTTGACCTGCCAAGAGAGGTTAAGTGACCTGAACTGGGGCCCTCCTGGGGTACCTATGGGATAGTCTATAAATACATATATATATATAGGGTCCTTCAACCTCTGCTGGTGGATCTTCACAAGAATCTTCAATCGATTGATCAACTGAAGCCGCCCGCCACTTCAGCAGGGGACAAGACCCTTGAGTCATGGACTGCCACCCACCACTAGCAAATACCATTCCCCAAATCCATCCAAATCCCACAATTAACTAACTTTGACTGGATATGAGATGACAATGAAAGGGTTCTCCACAAAAGGAACCTTTAGGCGCATATTACCTGCTTGGGGAGGAAAAAGTGGCACTGTCAGGAAGCAGAAACACTCTCTCAACATGTGACTCTCTCATACAGGTACTATCTTGGGGTTGACTGTGGGCTGAGACACTTCAAACCTGCTGCACCCCCTTTCCCACGGTGGCCCCGCAGCTTCCACACGATTCTTCCAAGCGTCATCCAGCGAGGCCGGGTCCACACGCAAATCCTGGCGGAAGAGAAATCCAGCACCGTGACGCGGAGCGGGCACCGTCGCGGTCCAAAGCACCATCTCTCCGGGCAACTCTGGAAACTGCCAGAGTTATGAGAAGAAAAGCAACAGATCTAAGACAGCTCTGTGGCTCTGTGTCTAGTTTGTCTTCTTTTTCTTCTTTCGTTTTTTCACTGCCAGGTTGTGAGAGGGTTGATGTGTTTGGCCAAGGACGTTCTGCCATTGGCTCGGGAGGGTGGTTTGAAAATGGTGATGAACGTAGAATTGATGACGGTTAAACTGGAAGCCTCGGTGCCGGGGGACATGCCAAGTCATATTTTCACAACCTTCCCGACATGAAGAAACTCATCGTTCTGGATTCTGCATGTTAAATTGCTGCCCCCTCGCCCTCGCCCTAACACACGGTTTTCCAAAGCTGCCCTTAAAGCAAGACTCCCCAAAAAGGAGCCCTCCTTCAAGTCTGACCAATGCACACCCTCTGCAGCAGAATCAAACACCCCATGCAAAACAGGAGGCTGAACAAACCGATCAACGCTCAACGCGTTTTTCTTCGGAACCCCAAAATCGGAACACCACTCTTGAGACACCAACCCTATATATACCATTCATCGCATACATGGGTTTCTTCCCATTCCGCACCGCCCACCGACCACATCGGGTGACCCCATCGCGGGCCGCTGGACCGAGCCGAGCCCGCCTGGCCCAGCCAGCGAGCCTGATTCAACGGCGCCAGCCTCGGTCGGAACCAGGTCCGGGGGGCGCAGGTCGGGACGACTCGGGACGAAAGGGACACCGGTCGAAGCAGCTCAATGGCTCGGTTGATCGAAACAAGGCAATGGAGCCATTTGTTCTTTCCATTGCTTTCTGGCCATCCGAGTCTCACGACGCTGGCCTTAAGTTTGGAGCCAAGTCGGAAAAACTCTGAAGATCTTCCATTGAGAACTTCTGTCTTCAGAACTTCCAAGCAACCAGACGACAGAAGCTGTGTGATGGACCGCAGGGCATCCGCTCTCTTCTGACCGGACCGATGATCCGACGCTCCGGATTCGGTCAGGGGACACGTCAGGGCCACGAGAAGCTCGGAGCTACAGTTTATAACAATGGGTGAGGGTGACACATTAACGAACCCAGCAAACAAAATATCATACCCAAGCTGGACAATTGAACATGAGGCTGTCAACTGTCAGTACCGATCTGTGGCAGCTCTAAGACACCTGCTTCTAGCTGGTTGAACCGACTTTCTGCTGCTCGTCCTCCACTAGGTTGGGGCCCCATACCCCTTCTACTCACAACATCTCGGTACCAAAAGAGATCGGAGACCTCCCCCTTGACGATGGCGCTGCGCTGCCAAAGGCCGCGCCCATCATCGACCGACGCCGTCCGCACCGGGTTGAAGCGGGTCGACACGGAGTCGACCGCTGTAGACCAAGGGGCTGCCCCAGATAGGTGGAATCGACCCAAAGTCTACTCACTGCACCTGGCCGCGAACGATGGGCAGTCTGTGCCACGAAGGGCTTCGAACACAAAGATTCGGGTGGTGATTTCCCAAGATTGAACTGACGACTGGTGGCAACTGAACTAGGGTCTCTTTATGTCTCTTTCAATTCTGTCTCACTTCGTGACCTACCAATCTTCATGATGAGACAGGCCCATGTGCTGAATGAGGCCTTTCTTGGCCCCAAATGTCATAAAGAACCATGGGGCCTCGTCTCCAAAGCATGGGACCTTGTTCCCAGTCACCCGCCTATCCAATAAAGCCGGAATAAGAAGCCGCCAGAGATGTGGGAATGCAGAAACTGAAGCAATGCCACCTGCCAGCACATGCATGACAAGCACAGGAAATCCCATGTGAGAAGATGGCCCTGGCTGTTCTCTTCTTGCAGCTGTATGCAGCTGTCAAGAAAACAAGGCCAGGGCTGTTGCGGTCCGTTTTCCATGCACCGAACTGGTCAGTCCAGGAGGATGATACTTCCTCTTTTTTTGCCCACTTAACAGGTTCAGCGAAAGAAGAAATGATAAGGTAGGATATGTTCTACTTGAATAGTTAAGAAATCAAAAGAAGCCTTAAGCCGCTTAAGCCTTAAGTACCCTTGAGTCATAAAATAAGTACAGTGATACAGTGGCATGTACATGTTGATATGCTACTACGCTACACATAATTACTTTGTCTACTTGAGGCCCTTTGACTGTTGCTTGAAGCCTCTTCTTCATATGCCCAATCCGTTGACTCGCGGTCCAAAATCTACCCCTTCGTGAGAATGACTTGGGTCAAGAAGCTGATAGACCTGTTATATATGAATGATATGGGTCAAAACCTGGAGCCCCCGAGGAGCCCCTGAGGAGCCCCTGACCCCATGTAGCTTGACCTTCCAGGTGGGTCAACCAAAATATCTTGGTTTTGACCCACACGCAGCCAATTAAGTCTGACATATTGGTGGCACAAGACAATAATTGCCGCCAAGTTGTGCAAGATCGACCATTGAAACTCTTCTTGCATTTGTTCTGCCAGCAAACCTTCTAATACGTTTGGGCACCCGAACCATACTTGTTATCAGAATATCTCGGAGGGCAAATGTATACCCCAATTTAAATTGTCCTCTATGCATATTTATTTTGTACGACTTATTTCCTCCAATGATCTGTTGAAAGGCACCAAATCGATCACATTCTCTTCCACCAAATCCTGACACCAATGCCTCCAGCTCATAACGATTTCCTCAGCCCCGCACGAAATCACCACGCAAGAGGTGATGCGATGCGAACAAAAAAGCAAAACACGCGGTTGTTCGCAAGTTGAGACCGTTGTCTTATGTTGTCTTGTTGCATGGGCAAAACAAACAAGCGCTCTGGCTTTCCACTCAGATTCTCATGACCATCAAGACTGCAAGTCTCTGGAAGAAGTGCAAACCCCAAACCCTTTAAAGAGACTCATCTAGAAACTGCAGGCAAAAGCCCTGCACACCCAGTCGTTTGGATCAGTGTCCAGCGGGTCAATCAATAAGTTTCGAAAGCTCTGGCGCTCTGTACAAATCCATCGCTAGGGATCTTTAATCATGTTTCTTCAGTCACAAGCCGGCACCAAACAACATCTGCCTCATCTCACCGAAGACACCCCCAACCAAGCGCCAAACCTCCCCCACTCCCTACGACTCCCTTCACTTCCTCTCTCTCTCTCCACGGTGACGTCCGTGGCTTCGGGGAGCGACGCGTCACTTCAGCTGGGCGGCTGTAGTGTAGCTCTTGATTCTCGCTGGGCGTGCTCAAGGCGTCCAAACACCACGGCCTCACGTGCTGCGGCTGCGGCCGTGACGCGGCCGTGGCCGTTGCGGCCGTGGCAGGAGCTGCTGAGCTAGGCCCCATGGAGTGGACGTTGCCACGAAGGGTGTTGAAAACAGGTGGAAACAAGGACAAAAGTGTGACCGAACAGGTTCCAGTTTGCTTTCGCGTAGCTCTCTCTCTCTCTCCTTGGAATCCAGATTCAGGATTGTTTCGGCATGTTTAGGCTATGCCACAGCTATGCCACAGGAAACACTTCTGCAACACTTTCGACATGTTTAGGCTATGCCGCGCGGCTGCGCCAGGTCTGGGCTTCCCTTCCTGATGGTGGTGTTCGAGCTTCCACACCAATCTCTCCACCTCACGCCATTCGACGTCGGCCGGGTGGACGGGACGGTGACCTCGTCTCCGATTCGATGGCTGAACAGCACAACTCGACGCCCAAGCCGTGTTTAAAAATGCCTGTAGAAGAAGCCAAACAGCAAACACAAAAGCAAGAAAACATGCAAACGCCTCGAACATGCTGAGGAAACACAAAAAGAAACACCTGCTGTTAGAAGGAAACATGGAAAACAAATTGAACCTGTAACGGAAGCTGCTCGGGAACACTACCCACTGCTCCATTTTGAGGCAAGAAGCACCAAACTGGAGAGTTCTTGTGCGTTACACGAGAAGGTCAGATATGTTTGCTCTTTCCTGAAACTGGCTAAACGTGTTTGCTTTTGTTGTGCTCTTTTTCCACACTTGTTTTGATCGTTTATCTAACTCATGATCACAGAGCTCCAGGCTAATCTATCAAAACCCAGAAAGGTAGCCTATAGACGAAGAAGACCGCACAAAAGTCCATTCAAATCATTGCTTGAAGAATGCTTCTGGTGCTTCATTGAATGGATTGTACGTACAGTACAGCCTGTCTGTCTTGCGCCTCGCCACATCTGTGTCGACTAATCCACAGAGTTGGATGATGAAAATCCTTTCTGAGATCGGGAGCCCAAGCAAATTCTTTGGATGTCAAGGCCCACATCACACATGCTGTTACAGTACTCCAAGTGAGACTGGAAGCCTAGTGCCCTACCTGCCATGGCATGCCCTATAGATCTGCTCACTTGGATATATGGCTGGCACCAAATTCCGCCCGTCTACACTCCACCAATCCAAGAGTTTGAAACCTGAGGTCTTTGGCGTTAACTCACAGCCAACGTCATAGCAGGACTCCAATCAAATGGGATGGCAAACAGTTGGAACACATCCCCCAGCAAACGTTGTAATTACGGCCCATAAGAAGGACAGGTATACACATCGAGATGATATGAGATGCAATGATATGATATTTCAAACTAGGAATGTCATAAGACGAAAATCGACCAAAAATAGTTGACCCTGTTTCTTGTTCCGGATTTCTTCGCTCCAAACCACCGGAGTCGAACACGTCACTCCGTGGACGTCTGTCACTTCACACTCCAAGCACCGTGGAAAGGGACTGCTGGAGCCGAACCAACCGCACCTCTCAAAGATCATGCTGGAGCCGAACTTCGCCGAGTCCTGCGTGGTGCTCGACATGGTGGCGGGACGAGTGGACGTGCCGGGTTTTCACGGGTGTGTGTGGAGTTCTGGAGGATGAGTAGCACCAGGAGGTTGTATAGGGGGCCGTGAATGAAACGGAAAGAGACAGGAATCACGTGCTGCTTGGGAAGCATTGACTTTATGATGTGTGGGATTTTCGAGTAATCATGGGCGTTGTGTCCAAACCCTTTTTGTGCGGGAGATGGCCATCCTACCCAAAGGCATCAAGCGTGGGGGTTGTGAAAGAGACAAAAGAATTATGCACGGATGATCATGAATCATACCTTTCATCCACTACAACCAAGATTCGTTTAGTGCATGGCACGCATCAATATAAACTGTGGAAGAGCATCAAAAAACGGGTGAACCGTGTGCGGACGGTGCCAGGGATTGAGATCAGCAGGTCCAGCAGAACCTGCCGAAGCTTTAACCCAAAATGAAGTGAGATTTGACCCAAATGAAAAGAATCTGAACCATAGTCATCATAGTCACTAGGTCTGCAATGGATCAGAGTGGGAAAACCACTAAGATGCTGAAGGATGGTTCATCCTAACCAAAAAGAAGTTTAGTTTGTAGTTACATAATGTATTAACGTTTATAGTTATAGACATGTTTGTTCACCAACTCCAGTCCCGTTTCTTGGAACCTCTCTTTGTTCACCCTCCCCACTCCCGTTGAAGACGTTGCCGTCCGGTCCTGGAAGTCGGACACGGCGTTGAAGACGTTGCCCGCAGGATCGAACTGTGGGAGGAAGAGTAACATCACCTGACGCAGTTCGTTGACCGGAGCGACCGGAGCGAGCTTGGCGGAGCGGAGCGTTGGGGCTCGGAGCAGCGGAGCGGAGCGACCGGAGCGTTGACCGGAGCGAGCTTGGCGGAGCGGAGCGTTGGGGCTCGGAGCAGCGGAGCGTTGACCGGAGCGTTGACCGGAGCGAGCTTGGCGGAGCGGAGCGTTGGGGCTCGGGTTTGGGTGGGGAAGCCACGAAGCGGTTGGGACTGGTCATGAATCACCAATCAACATGGCCATGTTGGTGGTTGGTCGATGTCGACCGACCCAGATGGGGGTGATTGGCCGTTCGTTCGCCACACCTATTGGAGGTGAAAACGACCGTAGAGAAAACCCCTCCATGAATCAACCATCAATATGTAACATGCAATGTATGGGTGGGGTGGATTCGTTGGAGTGGGCCAACAGCCAGGTGGCGATGAGTGAGGAGCCAAGAGAGGCAATCAGGTGACGAATCAAAACCAATGGGTTCTATGGAATTTGGCAGAGCCAAGAGAAGACAAGCAAAGTCTATATCCATCCACATCATTATTCTACCTCGACCTATCATCCACTAAAGTCATTTTACAAGTTTTGAATCATCCTTTTCATATCCATTTGAATCTCCTAGTTACAGTCGTGTAGGACCCAAGGACCCCAACTCCTCGCCATGCCCGGGCACGACCTCTTTGAACATCGGATTCACCGCAGCGCTCCGGCTTTCGCTCCGCACCCCGGCGGCGGCCCCCGCGCGCCCGCGGAAAGGTCTGAGTCCCCCGGGCTAAAACCAGGATGATGACACGGCGCGTGGTCATGTCCTCAGAGGGCCACACGCCGGTTGGACCCGCGACGGCGCTTCCAAGCCAACGACGGAGGTTCCCGTTTCTTCAGTGGAAGGTCCGAGCAAGGCTTGGGGTGGTAAGGATCGAGGATGCGGGGTTTTTGCTGCGTGACACGAAGTTCCAAGTGGGATCCAAGTCGTATAGCGGGTGAATCTCCAGCTGTCTCCAGGTAGTTGCTGGGCGTTGGATTGGCAAAAGAATCCGACAGCAGCAACTGATAGCAAGTGGCAGCAGAACCACACCATCCAATAATGACTCTTGCCTTGTGGTGGTTCATACACTGTCCTTTCCAATCTTTGGTAATTGAGCTACAAGATGCTACAAGTAAGAGTTAATCCATGCTTCGATCGGGTTCCATGATTCAGTTTCGTCGAGATTTCGATCTTCAAGAACAACACGCACATGCATGAAATATTCCCCAGTGCGAGTAAGATGGTCCCCAAAAACGGTGTAGTGCCTCTCACAATCCACTCAGACCCAGAGCCAACTTGATAATCATTAAGTGCGACCTTCAAAAGTGGAGAAGCTAAGCATCTGATTCTAAGCACCCACCAGTGCGTCCCAGCATCTTTGGGGCTCCACACGATCCTCCTCCGGTTCCCTCCCCCCTCCGTCCGTCCCGTCTGTCCCATCCGTGGCCCCTCTGGGCTCTCCGGGCCGAAAGCTTCTTCCCCACCCGGGTCTCCTGCTTCGGTTCCTCCTGAGATCAGCGCTGCGTGTGCGGCGCTGGCTGCTGGGGCGCACGGCCGACGCGGTCCCGCGAGGACGCGACCGCGACCGCGAGACACGAGGCGGTAGCGGCGCGCGGTTCGGTGCCGGCACCGTTCAACAAAGGATGCTGGACTGCTGGATGTTGAGTAAAAACGCCGGATTCCTGGAGCTCTTCTTAATGATTGAAAAGGGGCTTCTATGGGCTTCTGAACCCTGAAGAAGACCCTGTTGTTTCGGCTTACTATTCTGCAAAACTTGAATATAAGGTTTAAAGGGGGAAGGTTTTTTAATCCAAACGTTTCCAGATCCGTTTCCGACCCATTTGTCTATCCGAAAAAATAGCCTTTCACACAGGCCTCAAACCACGCATTGGAGTCCCGAATCTTCAACATTATTGAACGCCAAGTGGTTTTTTGCGGATAAAAACCGGGCCGGGCCGTCCTGATCATTCGGCTTGCTCTCATCCTGAAAGTCATCCTGATCAGGGATATGCCAAGCTGCGCTGATCATGAGGATGTTCAGAGCTCACCATCAATCTGTGCTGTGTTGCGTTTCAACTTCCAAAAGCCCGGAAGATTTACAAGAAACAGTTCACAAGACTCCTTGAATGGATACCAACCCACACTGACTCCCCCAAAACCTCTCACCCCAACACATGCGGCGAATCGGTCGCCCTCTGCCTCCTCTTCGCCTTCTTGTCGAACCTCACGTCCCGAACCGCCGCCCCGGGCGTCGGACGCCGGGTCGGGCGGGGCGTTGACGACGTCATGAAGGACATGGATGGAGAGACCACTCCAGAAGGATCGGAATGTGACATGCCCAAATTGGATGGGTTGACCATCAGTCGAACATGTGTTGATCGTCTTGCTGCTCCCCTGCCCCTCACTGGCCTGGAAGCCGGGAAAGGAGAGCAGACTTGGAAGCCATCTTGAAACTTGAAACCAGCTGAAGCAAGGTTTAGAAAGGTCATGAAAGGTCCCTGGAAGCCTTGGCAAGGTTCATGAATGGCTGGGTGAAGAAGAATCAAGAGCATGTATCCATCGATGTTGCGTTGATTCTCTCTGAGACCTTTCTTCGCTCTGATGAACGCTTTTAAGCTCTATTCCGCAGGTCATGAACGTGGCCAGTGGAACCCAAACACTCCCAACATCTCCCAGCAACCAGCAACGCTGGAATCATCCCAAACCGGACTACCCAACACTGGGGACCTCATGGGGTCCAAGTGGGGACCTCATTTGGGGAACCTGACGTCATGCTGGGAGTCCCTCACATTGAACTCACTGGAGGACTTGGAGGTTGCAGGGTCCTGCACTCGCTGGATCGGCTACACGTCACCCGCGCGAGCTGAGCACGAGTGGACATCGATATGAGATATATATCTTATAATAGCTAGCCGGTAAATCACAGCCAGCCAGTTGGCCAGCCACTGAATCTCTAAAAAAGGCAGAGGTTGCCTAGTACATATACTTTTGACTGGTACAGGCCTTCAAAAGATCTTGCTGACCCCAAGGATTGGAGTTCCAAAGACCTAAACCGTGGAGGTCCACAAACCATCACAAACCTACGTGCTTCTTTACACGGTTACATTATACTTTTAACTGATGTTTTTTCATGTTCACTGGAGTTCACTCTTCATCCAATCCAATCATCTGTCACCATCTCAACCAAAGTTCCCAGAAATTGACACGTTGCTGAAGACGAAACACCGCCAGTTCACCCCGTTCCGCTTTCGCGGTTCACACGACGGTCGACCGGGTCCGGGATGGTTTCGCCCGGCTTGAGCTCTAACAGCCGCTGCTTCCTGCGACGAGAGCGCGGTGGATCCAGTGGATCCCTCAAGGAGGTTTGATGCGGACGAGAATCAGCTCAGACAGTCGGTTCTGTTGGGTGTGCGGGTCTGTTTTGGTGCATAGGGATGCATTTATAGGGTTTGCTGGAGGTTGAAGGGTATCCACCAGGTGACCAAGTGGTGCTGCAAAAAGGTGACGTCTTTGTCATGTCCACCGTCAGGATCAGTCACGCGTATAGCGATGACCCCTGTGTGGACAGATGAGCCTTGTAAATTGATATGACTGTGGCGCCAAGAATTTGGGCCCTATCAGTTTGAAGGTACGAGTTCGGTGAACTGATAATAAGTCCCAGCCACGTGGTGCAGGAAATCCAATTCTTGCCCGAAACGGATTCTACAAGTCAACCACCGGCCAGCATAACCAGAAGGATGATAACTATATTGAATGTTAGAAATTGATCCGTCGGGTGCTTAATTTGTATTGATTAGTACAGCCGTTTCAGAGTAGGTGGCACAGACCAAGATGTCCTGAAAAGATGGAGGTTCATATAAACCACCGACATTGGGGTCTGTGCCATCGGTCCTCTCAATCCACTATACAACACTCAAACTCAACTCACATAGACCCTGACGTTTTCTGGATCCGAGTGTTTTCCTCTACCTACTACCAACCAGTGGGTTTTCAGGGTCCATGGGCTCGTCTGCCAGGGTGGAAGTTGGACCCCCCTTGCACCGGACCGACTTCAGAGTCGCAAGAAGGTGGGGCGAGGAGCCCTGCAGCCCTGCCTGGCTTCCTCCTCTTTCCTCTTCTCCATGGCGACCCAATAAGCCTGGGAGAAACAGGCAGATGATCGGCAAATGGCATGTGATCCATTGAAAGAGGATGAGAAGAAGAGCAAACATGCTGCCCAAGCTGTTTGGCGAGGTGCTGTTTGGTGGTTTCCATGAGGGAAGCTGTTTGGTTTCGGGGCATCCAGTCCACGCAGACAGCAGTTCCGAGTTGGGTGCCGGTTCCGAACGGAGGGTTTGGTGCCGGTTCCGAACGCTCAGGACATCCACGTCACTTGGGATCGGGAAGTTCAATGGCCATGGATGAACTGAGTCCACCAGTTTCCAGTGATCAACCCCGACATGAACTAGGATCTCAGTCTTGCCCAAACCCCTTTCAAGGTGGCAAAGAAAAAAAAACGGGGGACCGGACCTGGTCCCACCGAAATCTATCAGAATAGACGACTATAGGGAGGTCAAGGGTGAGCTTTGGACCCACTGTCAGGTGTTGATGGTGGCTTCCTGACCACGGCGAACCGGTAAACGGCCGGGTTCCTCGGCTGCATGGCGAACGCGTTCGGAGCATCTGGGATCTTGGAGAGTGTTCTTGTTTTCGCTGGGTAAAAACATCAGATTTGTTGTTGTGCTTTCCCTTGAGGATGAGGCTGTTTCTTGATGTTTCTTGGACTTCTCTTGAACGGTATATATGGGTGCATGTCAGTGCATGTGTATTAATAGTATCCCCCGACCAATGGATGGACTGGTCTATTTCCCTTCTTCCAGGGGGTCGGGACGCCTGGTGTCGGTACGCCCGGTGTCGGTATCCCTATTTCAATACACACCATATACAGTGGGTTTCACCATGTAAAGGTAGACCCATCAACCAATAAAATCCGTTTCTTGTGTCATATTCCTTCGCCCCTGGGGCCGACCTCCCACTCTGGCAAAGGGAGAGCCCCCCATCACCCTTGCGCTGCGTCTCGAAAAGCGTCCCAGGCCTTGTAAAGCTTCACCAGGCGCATCAGCCGAATGATCCGAACCGTTCCTCAGCCACCGCAGTGGGTTCGGTACGGTTCCACCGGGCCGTGGTTCCGGAAGTGAAGCACACGGAGGAAGCGGTTCGAACGCCGGCTGGGGTAGAACATAAGGAGAAAAACACCAAACAGACGCTCCAGAGTGGCTTAAATAAGAGAAGATCTCCAAAAAGAATATTTGCTTGCAGCGATAGTTCCTGCACAGTATACAACGAGGTGTTCTTGGTGCGCCCATGCGATCAGTGTCCATCCGCTGGATGCTGTCACCCGAATCGATGTTAGTCTAAAGGAATCCGAACTAGAAGCCCATTGGTTGGATCTATCCCATTGCTAGTGACTCAGTGCAAGGTGATGCTGAGGTTGCAGGCCTTTCTCGTTCGTGATGTTCGTGTTTTTATGGCTCTCCAGGTGTTCTGGGACAGATTGCATCGTCATGATGGGTCATTTGGGGTGAAGGACTAAGAAATCACCTGTTGTCCACACTGGAAGATTCTCAGCCCCAACTTCTTCCAGTTCTGAAGAACGGCTCGCAGGAACCCACAACGGCTCGCATGCTCAACTGATGTCCAGTCTTAAGTGAGGGTTTTTCTGGACGATTTTTGCGCCATTTCCAGTGTCAAGTGCTTCTACTCCCAAACTACCCAAAGGGACATAGAAGTGAAACGTGTTCG